ATCGTACTGGAGACATGGAACAAATATTATGCTGATCTACTAAACTGTAATGTTAGTGACACCATGGAAGATGCCGTGTGTACAGATAGTGAAGATATCGACGACGATCTGAACCAGGATATATCCATTGACGAGGTAATGCAGGTTCTGATACAGGCTAAGACGGGAAAGCCCTTGGATACGATTCAATCCCAGTTGAGGTACTAAAGAAAAACTTTATGACATTTTACATACGCTTTTCTATATATGCTGGAAGTGCGGTAACATCCCTCGTTTGTGGACAAAGAGTATCAATAACCCCATACCGCAGAACTCTACTGAAGATACCAGGGACCCACTCTCCTACAGAGGCATCACTCTTGCAAGTTCCAGCTACAAACTGTACTGTGGAGTTCTAAATAACAGACTGAGTAAGAAGGCTGATCTCTGCAACCTACTCTCGGACGGTCAAAATGGATTCAGATTCAGACGGTTGAGCATGTATCTACGTTGACGTCTATAAAAGAAACACGTAAGAGTAGAAAGCTGGACACATTTGATGCATTTATAGACTTTAAAAAGGCCTATGACCGTATAGATAGAAGCATATTGTGGCAAAAATTAAAGAGCATTGGCAAAAGTGGTGATTTTTTCAGATCATTACAGTCTCTATATATGGGCATACAGTGTTGGGACATTTTACTTCATGGTTCCAAGTCCAATGTGGTCTTACACAAGGTTTCCTACTGTCACCTCTTCTATTCAGCTTGTCTGTTAACGACCTTCTGACGACGATAGATGGAATGTCACGTGGTGTACAGATTGGAAACGAACGTGTCAGTGTCTTGGCCTGTGCAGACGACATCGCACTTCTCACTGAGTCGGGCAATGATATGAACTTGCTACTCGACTGTTTGAACGTCTGTAGTCTCGGGAACAAGATGACACTCAACCCATCGAAGTCGAAAGTAGCACACTTCAGAAGCCCTGCACGTGTTTTTTAAGTGTGGATCCACCATTATTGAGACAACTGACAGCTACAGTTACCTTGGCCTGTTACTTACAGAACATTTAGACTATAAACGTATGGGGCAATCTGTCGCGAGTTCTGCAAGTAGGGCTCATGGATGTTTGATTAAGTACACGATTCCTGGTGGAATGGAGTATACGACGTACACGATGCTCTACGACTCCATGGTATTGTCTACCATACAGTACGGCGCATCGATCTGGGGAACCTACACACTTTCTACCATTGATACTGTACAGATTCGAGCTATGCTCTTCTTCCTGGGACTCAAGAAGTACGCCCCCAACAATGCCGTCATAGGAGATATGGGGTGGATACCACCATCTGTACGACAATGGGTGGCAGTGTCTGGATTCTATAAACGGTTATGTCTGGTCCCATGTGAAAGACAATGGGTGACAGTGTCTGATTCTATAAACGGTTATGTCTGGTCTCATGTATGTTAAGATTGAAATGGAAAACAGACTTTTCTATAAAGTGGTAACAGCGTCTGGGTGACAATGGGTGACAGTGTCTGATTCTATAAACGGTTATGTCTGGTCTCATTGCGTCCAATTAAACAGTATGTTACAAGTGAAGCGATGAAAAAAACGCGCTCGGGTTAAAAAACCGAAATGTTTCAACTTTTCCTAAACGAGTGGATAACAGCGATCCGGCGTCAGAAAGGTACCGGTGGTAACAAGTTACGACTTTACAGCAGATTCAAGTCTGAGTTCGGCGCTGAGACATACGTCATTACCTCCATGACCAAATCTCACAGAAGTGCGTTAGGCCTGTTTAGATGTGGAGTCGCTCCTATCAGGATAGAATCTGGGCGATATGTTAACCACCTTGTTCAGAACGAGTTTGTTTTAACTGTCATGATTGTACCGAAGACGAAACTCATGTGTTGCTCCGATGTCCTCTCCACAATGATGTGTTGCTGCGATGTCCTATCTACAATGATGTGTTGCTGCGATGTCCTATCTACAATGATGTGTTGCTGCGATGTCCTCTCCACAATGATGTGTTGCTGCGATGTCCTATCTACAATGATGTGTTGCTGCGATGTCCTATCTACAACGATGTGTTGCTGCGATGTCCTATCTACAATGATGTTCGACGGGTTTTACTGCAGAGATGTGCTGAAGTGTGGCCCGAGTTTAATACTGATGATGACATCACTAAAACTAGTTTCATTTTATCTTGCATTGTGATAGCCATTTATGTGCCAAAACATGTAAAGTTATTTTAGACAATCGGATGGAAATATTGTATTGTATTCCTAGTTATGTATTTTATGCTCTTACTTTTAGTATTTATGCTCTCTATGTATATATTTATGATTTTTATATCTATTGTATTTTAATAAGTTATATTTCTGTTGTACATTGTTTTAACAGATAGTCTCTCATAACTTCAAATGGAGTGGACCATGTATTTTACTGTATGTTATGCTGTGTTATTTTATGTCAATGAGGTGTGAATATAATAAACAATCTGTCTGGGATGCAAGCGTGACATTTCAAAGGCGATGTCCGCATATTTAGCATGCTTTTCCTGGATCTTGCCAATCACGTTGCTGTCAAAAGGGACAGCAAATTATTACTATTATTACTTGTCTGTGATATTTTGCCTTTTACGTCCCATGGAATGCGTTTCAGGGGGTAATCTAGAGTGGTCATTTGTCTATAGATGTTTAGGATATAATGCCTTTCTGACAGTTGTGTGATCTGGAAGTATTTAAACAACGACACAGCGACGACTGTGCATAGTGTTTGCTGTTTTTACAACTGGAAGAGTTGACTGAAGTAACTTCTCTCTAATGGCCGTACAAGACGCTGTCTTTCATAGTTAATTGTTTGTTTGATCGTTGTAGTTTGTTCAGTGATATCAGCTGTTACGGTTCAGAATTTACTGAGATAAAAGGCTGGTGAGTCCCCTTTAAACCAGCAAAATAAAACACAGACGAGTGTATAATATTCAATTGTATATTAAATAAACAAGGTTGCAATGAATGGCAGTACAGATTTCTAATACAATATTATTGGATCACAAACCTAAAATATTGGGTCACAAATCTAAATACTAACTCACCAAAGTATTGATATTCCCAGTAATGTATTCCCAGATGTATTGATAGAAATTTGTTTTTGGGATATACAGGTCATGCTTAAAAATATATCAGAGTCGGACGCCTATGGTTGAAAGTTCAATGTAGGCGAGGCCAATTGAGAGGTTGGTCTTGAATCGTTGATGTTAGCAGAAAGAGGAGCGTTAATCCAAAGTAGTTCCCCCCATATATCTCAGAGTTGAGTTGAGTTGGGCTTTACGTCACATCGGCATTATTCCAGCCATATAGTGACGAGAACAAGTCTGCATTAATATACATTTTATATATCTCAGAAACCATCCCGTATGTACCTATTACACAGAATTCTAACAAAAACCATGCCACACTACGACCATCTAGAAGGTACTCACAGCTTCCACAATCGGACCGGAAGCCAAACAAAGGGGAAGTAACTCCCCAGCTCACTCTTAACAGGTGAAAATACACAGCCTAACTTCAAGGTGTGAGTTCAAATCAACACTCAACGCTTTATACTTTTGTGACTCGTAATAACTAAAAGTTAATTAATGTGACATAATTAACAAAAACACATCCTCATAACATAGCTGATAAATCAAACTTCATTTAACTAAATCATTCTAGTACAGGTATGATGTTCATTACTGTAACAATGGAGTTCGAAATCACATATCCTGGAGCGACGAAGGGAAGCAACTCTTCAAAGATTGTTTCAGCACCCTTGAAGACGGTCCCTCATGTGCTTGTTTCTTATACAACGGTGTGTGTGTGTGTGTGTGTGTGTGTGTGTGTGTGTGTGTGTGTGTGTGTGTGTGTGTGTGTGTGTGTGTGTGTGTGTGTGTGTGTGTGTGTGTGTGTGTGTGTGTGTGTGTGTGTGTGTGTGTGTGTGTGTGTGTGTGTGTGTGCATCGCCAGACAAGATCTCTACCACGCGAAGGATGGCAACCACGCAGCAGACGAGACATAAAATTAGGAAGCTGGCAATATTCTATGCAGCCATACAGACCCCAACTTACAAGACCACATTGGTGCAGGTTGATGTTGCTAATATTTTCACACAACTTCAACACAACTAAAAAAAGTCATTGATCTCATGCAGATATACTACGTGGACCGACAAACGCAGCACTGATTAGGCGAGATCGAAGTTCATTCCAAACATATATTACCTTCCATAAACACTCAGTTGTGGTCGTATATTGTCTACGTTGGTATTGCGGGAGTGGGCAAATTATTTTAACATCACATAAATTCATAAACTGTTCTTTTCAAGGCGCTCTTGGAATGGATAAGTCATTCTCTCTTTACACTTACCAAATCTCTGTATTTACACCTACCGAAGCTGAGTGTGTTTTTTCTAAACTAGTGCACACTAAACTTCGTATGCCAGAGCGTCTCAGTCCAATATTTGATTGAGTAGATACATCTATAGAATTTCTTTCTTTCTTCTTCTTCTATTATTTAAATATTTTTAATATTAATTATTTGTTTTGTCATTATTTATTTTATAATAACACATCAGTAACTAACTGAATGCATGGCTATTTATTCACACAAACAACCGGCAACAAGCGCAATCAACATTCTACACTCTTTTTGTCAAATACTTGTTAATATACGGGCTATGGTAAACATTAAACACGATACACAGGACGCGGTAGAAATGGGGATGGGCGTTGATACATCCCACCTGTTTGTTTGGATGCGAGCATTTGCGCGACTCTGGGTTAAAGTAAGTAAATTTCAAACGATAAGATAACGACTATTTATAGAGTTTTGCTGCTCATCTCGATCAAGAAATTTCTTGCTAAATATAGAACATTTCACCATCCAACAAACGACAGCCTCTTAGGACGGTTGTGCGTCATCACATTTTTAGCCAATCCCATAGCTCGTTATATTCGCCCACAGATTCATTCATTGGACTTCCCAAGATGGCGGAAGGTGGACCACCGGATTGTGAGACTCAGAAGTCAGAAATAAGCAATTTACTGAAACTGACCCTTAAAAAAGGCGAGACTTGGTAAGGATTCGTACATATAGAAACCTAATACACCATAATTAGTCCATATATTGTTATAATTTTGCATAAGATGTTATCATTTTCACAGCCATAGTTCAGAGGTGATGGTTGCTGACTCATAAATTTGTACGACCGGGATTAGTTGAAGGTTTTGACAGCAGAAATATCTACCCTATTAGTTAGCAAATATATCACCTTACGATCTCGCTCTACATCATTACAGTTCACTGCAAGTGTTGTGAATTGTTTGGAGTACGATGTAAAATCACAGGTGTCAACTTGTTTTTGAAATGGCGATTGTATAGCGAAAGTAAGCCAATGTTGTCATATTAGCGACGACGACGGGAGTGTCCAGAGAAACATTTGCACGTGATTGAAAATGTGACTGGTTTGCCGACGGCATCCACAAACGCTTTCATGTCGCCGTCTCTGATGTTGTATTAGTATCGTCTTTGCCGAAAGTGGTCGATCTGGTTTGGTTTGTTGTTCAGGCAACAAGTGGAATACATTGCTCCAACACCACACTACCTTCCCAACCTCTACTACTAGTGCCACAGCATTAGTTTCGTTATGTGATAATATTCAAGCATAATGGTTTTTTGTCATTCCTGATCTGCCTTGATCAAATCATTACTCTTGGAAAAGTTATTGATTAGATCAGTGTTGTCCTGCTTCAAGTTACAAAGGATCAAGCTGCTTACAATGAACCGAATTTAGTATCCTGGTGTACAGCCGGTATCTATGATCAGTGAAAACAAAGTTAAAGATATATGTACTGAAGTATAATTTACAGATGAATTATGGCCTGAACTTTGTTAGAGGTGAATGGAAATCTTGTTTATTGTTCTTACGAATGTTCCTGTTTTGTTTATTTTGTTTGGTTGTTTGATTTTTAAATTAACTGTTCATTACCTGAATTCATGATTTGAAAAAGAAACCAATCTATGATAAAATCAGTTTGGAATTGACTTGGGAGTAATGAGTATTTTTGTTCACATGTCCGTGACAATCAGCTAATGGTAAAATTGGTAGTTTACAGGAAGTCACCAACTGTTCCCCAACAGAATCAAGTGAATATTAAACCCTGTAATGATGTGTATGTAGCTGAGATGAATGTGATGACATGTGGTCACAGTGTCTTGTTAAATATCTCAGTTAGCCTCTAGTTTGAATATCAGATTTTGGGATGTCTGTGTGTAAATACAAAACGCACACAACTGTGAAAAATAACTTCAGTTGTCATTTATGAAATATATTTACCTTTAACATTTTTAAATAAATAGAATGCTTTGCTATTAACAAGATTACTTTACAAAAGATTCATGATTGGTGAGGTAATGTGCAATTACCTCCAAGCAAATATTTAGCTTATTATTTTGTGTACCACTGGAATGTATCTGTAATACATTATACTGAATATTGTCTGCCATATATAAATTATTGGAAAGACAAATATTGGTATTTGCATTTATTGGGGTTTTGGCAGCCAGCTTTTGATTTTAATTGCCCAGTTTCATTATTAAAAAGATAATCAAAACTGTTACATACTGCAACAAAGTCTTTACTGACAGTTATAAATATACGTTAAATATTAGTTCAAGATTTAAGGTCAGTCACAGGGATTGGGAAAGTCAGGGGCCATGGGCCATTTTGCACATTAGAATAAAAAAGGCCCATTAAAATTTTGAGGTTTACTGTTGATACAAGGGCAGTGGCCAATTCTAAATTCAGTAAATGGCTAATAATCTTGAAAATGACCCTTTGTCAAAGTTCTCTATCCCAATCCCTGCAGTCATAATTCTGTATTTGGCAATCCACACCAAAATATATATATATATATATATATCATAATCATAATAGCAGAAAGCTGTAAGTGGCAATTTCCCCTTCTGTATAGTATTTGAAAAGTACATGTTTGTACCTGTACATGATGTAACAGATTTCTCCACACTGATCATGTTAATATCCCCACGGCAGAAAATCTTGGCTTTAATCCCTCATTCAGGTAATATTTAGTTTGGCTAACATAGGTTGTACACAAACATGCTTGTCGGTTATTATTAGTCCATACACAAAAGGAATGAATTCAATTTAGAATTGTACCAATGTAAAATTTGTACTTGTGAATTCGTTTTGCTAACACCTAATGAACTTAGGTTTGATTTTACCACGTGGTGTACAATTAATTATATGTGACAAAGTGAATGCTAACAAATATGGACGTAACTTTAAGAACCAGTTTTCAGAAATCTGTACGCTGACACAAGATACTAAAGTGACTTTTGTCATCATGCATCTATATGCATATCATTATGGTAACATGTGTAAACTTACATGCTGGGTTTCTTAATACTTTTGTAGGATATAGGCACAATGCAGATAATAAACAAGTACATGTAGTATATTAAAACTAGATGTTTTGTGTTGTATTATCCTATCAGTTTTTGGGTAACAATGACAGTTATCACCATTTTGAATGCAGCTAATGTAGAGGAGCTGTAGAATTATTCATAAACTGTTATATTTACTTAGAAAATTATAAGTGATTTACGTCATCAAATGAATACCAGTGTTCATGTACAATATATATATTGCTGGTATGAATAGTTCTTTATCTTGCTTATAGTACTTATACTATTTGTGTAGGAAACAACACATATCCAATATATATAAGACAGTTGAAAACTAGAGTATGAAGAGAAATAATTCATATTCTGATTATTATGAAAAATCTAATATGACAATTGACATGTATGAATTAACAAAAACTTCTTTGTATTTTCATCAGTTAACTTTCTATAAAAGTATTTACCTTTTTTTTTTTTTTTTTTCAGCACAGTTGAACTTACAACGAACAAAACTGTAAAGATAGGAAAAATTGTAGATAATCAGTTGTTGGTCATATTACCAAGTGATCAGATCATGTTTCGATTATTTAGGATTTCTATCCAATGTAAATGTTTACAATTCAGCATTTGGAGAAAATAATCATCCGAATAGTTGAATAGTATGTTTGTTATTGTTTTTGCTAATATACGACTGGTTGACTGAATAAACCATGGCTGAAACAAACATCATGTGAACTTGTTTTAAAACAAGAAATAACCGTTGGCTTGTCATGTTGTGTTACTAGTGTGTTCAATACCCTGGAATCCTGTAAGGTGCAATAATCTGACATTAGTGCTAGAAGAAGCTTCTAAATTCTTCAAAATTAGAACTGAGATTAAGGGGTCCTTGTCATAACTTAAATATGTGTATTCAAAGTTTTATTAGACCTCAAGACTTGAATATGATGCAGAACATTTAATGAAACACCTGTTCACTGTAAAACAGGCATTAGTCCAGGCTAGCACAAACAGCAGCCACACACACACAGGCACACGTGCATGGGCATCGCTATATAAGTGCAGTTAACTATAACATGACGTTAAACCCAATTTCACCTCACTGGCGGGACTAGGTTGTTCAACCTTGTCTAGCCAGTTTATCATGTTCATCAACATCATGAAAATGTGTCATGTTTTTTAAGCCAGACACTTGATGACACTTGACCAGCTTCATGGGAATTAATAGTCTATCTTGGTGGTTGTGAAATTACAGACAAAAGCAAAAAGTACAGATACATGCCTTTCATTATGAGCGAAGGGTGCACATTAAACACTGTGCAGTTCAGGTGTGTCTATTTACATAGATCCACCACTTCAAGACAGACCAGGCAATGTGTGTGTGTATGTCTCTAGTCCTGTTGGAAATAATGCATGTCGGTTTGTTTGTACTTTGTCAGGCAGGAAAGATTTAATATATTAATAATGTTAATTTTAATCTAATTAAATCTCATACCAGAAGATTTCTATTTTAAGAGTTTATTGGGAATGGTTCTTTGTTTCATTTGAGATGGTACATGCAGTGTTCACGAATAGCGTCTGACCTTCTGACAAATCCGGCAGATTTGCCAACGGTCCAATAGAAGTCTACAACCCGCCGGCCCCAATGTCAGACTGTATATTTCACAATGACTTTGACTGAAGTTGTTATATGTGACATGTGACACTTGTTTGCCCTATACAAATCTTACGTTTGTTAAAAATTTCAATGCCAATTATAAGAAATGTTGAATATGAAATGAGTGTTTAATTTTATTCTATGGGTCCTGTGAATTTTGAATGATCTTCAGTAACCCATGCTTGTCTCCCGTGAAGATCTGGGTTAGAATTGATCTTCAGTAACCAATGCTTGTCTCTCGTTAAGATCTGGGTTAGAATTGATCTTCAGTAACCCATGCTTGTCTCCCGTGAAGATCTGGGTTAGAATTGATCTTCAGTAACCCATGCTTGTCTCCCGTGAAGATCTGGGTTAGAATTGATCTTCAGTAACCCATGCTTGTCATGAGAGGCGACTAGCAGGATCGGGTGGTCAGGCTCGCTGACTTGGTTGACACATGTCATCGTATCCCAATTGTGTAGATTGATGCTTATGCTCAGACCATCGCCATATAGCAGGAACATTGCTGAGTGCGGCGTAAAACTTAACTCACTCACTCACTTTCTGTGTTATCGGGGATAAAGTGGTGAGATATAAGTGACCTTCACCTTGAACGGGATTATCAGGTAGGGTATTATGCTTATTGCCATCATCATGGACATTTCCACAACAAGGAACCTGTTTCCTAGTGAGGTTGTGGAATGTATGCATTAAGCATGATAAATGAATTAGACCTTTACGTGGATGCTGTATTAGATCATGTAATAATGTTGTATTAATCAGACAAACCTTGTGTTGAAGGTACCTTGTGGACATCAAATGGTTTAAGCAGTGGAAGAAGTTTGTGGGCTACGACAGCTGGGACTCTTGTAGTGTGGGGGATGAAAGCACAAACCCAGGACCTATAGACAACTCTGCTCTTCTTAAAGGTACATACGTTTACCAAGCTAGCAGGGAAGGGTTAATCCAACACCTTGCACAGATAATGACACTATTGTAGTCACAAGTCGAACATTTGACAGGAATTATTCATCAGTAAAGAGTTCTGTTTTGAGACTTAGCTGGAATTTATCACTCCAGGTTTTTGTAAAATTCAGTAAAGTTTATCTGTAGAGTATTCATATGTTTTTCTTCATTTTAACTATTAAAATGGTAGTGAGTAATGTACAGAATAACTCCATACTTTGACTTACAGACTGTCTGTTTCTCATGACAGTGCTGTAAGTCCCCCACCATAGGCCTAAGATTAACAGTGATCACTCACTCGGAACAGATAATCTCTATTTCATGTTAGCCAGTTGGTTAAGTATTAAGTATTTATCTTTATAAGTAGGGCTGGGACGATACACTATGTCACGATACGATACGTATCGTTATATTTTACCTGCAATAAGTTACCTATCATGATACATACACCTTGAAAGAATGACACAATATTAAGATTTAAAATGATTTATTTGAAGGTATTTGTGTATAACAATAACACTATTGTAATAAAGGAACAAGTAACTCTATCCTACTTGCGTATATTTTGCGTTCTCCACATAAGTACTTTAACATGTTTAAGATAATAGTGTTTTGAAAAAAAAAGTTGTGTATTATTTTGTATTGATACACCAGTCGACGATACAATAGCTGTATCAAACTAAAATGTATCGTGATGTATCGGTGCATCGGTGAATTGTCCCAGCCCTATTTATAACTACTAATCATGATAGGAAGTGAGACCTGTGATGGAGTAACATCCATCATGCGGTTGATGTTCCACTGGACATTAGGGATGTCTTCTTTTTAATGTATCGACTTTGCGTCCTTTCAAATTTTCTCTGAATGATTGTTGGTTGCATGAAATCTAAAGAACTGTTCTACTGACATGACAGATTGTCATCCTTGACATGCATTGGATGGGGACCTGAACTGATAGGACAATATAAGTTTACGGTCAAGATAACTCTGAATGTTGTTCATAAGGTCATGTGTTTGAGTACTGTCTTACATTGTGTAAGAACAGCAGGCACAATTTTGCAGTTGTAAACCATTTATAAGAATGGTCAAAATTTAAAAGAGTCTGTTTATGTTAATAGTTTCTATCACTAAAGTACCTTTTGGTCAAGGTCAATTTCAAACTCTGCTTTAATAAATTTTTACAAAACATTGTCTACGTTGTAATATCCTGCCTATGTTGTAGACAATGGTCAACTCAAGGAGCACCTTGTGGATGACCTTGACTATACGCTGTTCCCGGCTGAGGCCTGGAACAAGCTGTTGTCCTGGTACGGCATCATCGACGGACAGGTAAGATACCACTTTGTCCTCCGTTGTCGTGTTTGTCTCATATTGCCTCAGGAGATGTCTTACTCTATCTTTAAGGTCTGCGAATGATATGGATGTGTATTATAATGATCGTGGCACTCATTTTTACTGGAATGGCAACGAAATCTCATATGCATTTTGGATTTATTTAATATGCAAGATAAACCTTCTCAATCTAAGAAGTTGTATACATTCCATATACACTGGTATATCTGTTGGCTGTGACATTTCACCTACTACACATTATCACAGAATTATAAGAATTGATAAGACTTCAGTGTAAGAAATATCAGAGTACTTGAGGGTAAAACCTTCCAATTCTTTTGCGGCATATGTGATATATTATAACCAGTATTCAGAAATCTATCCATGCCAAGAAAAGGTTGAGAAATAGTTGTGTTCATTCAGAGTGCCATTATTAATGCCAGGTCATTTATTTCCCTGTCCAGAACCCCATATTGCGGAAGGTTATCGAGCAGGGCATGTTTGTTAAACACTGTAAGGTGGAGGTCTATCTGTTGGACCTGAAGCTGAGTCACAACTCGGATCATAACAAGTTCATCACTCGCCAGTTCAGCAGAGCCGATACCATAGGTACAGCTATGTGCAGTCGATCAGTGATCGGTTGTTGGTCAGTCGGTTGCATGGCTTGGTGCTGGATCCATGGTGTAGTTAGCTGTAGATGTTGTCTCATGTATACAGCAGGGCTTCCCATGCTGCTTGCACTCGCTGCTTGCACTCACTGCACACAAGGTTACACTTTCACGGAATGGAAAGTTAGCATTTTGATTGGTCGCTTTTTGTCTTGATAAAGTGACATAATGGTCGTGTTAAATGGTGATGTCATTTTAAAAAAAACCCCAGAAAATCATCTACTACATAGTATATGTAGTGAAAGATTCTTTTGGAATTATTGCATGGTGTTTATTGTGAATACATCTTTATGAAATTAGACAAAGAAATGTTACTATTGTTGGTGTCTGCATTCTACGGAAGCCCTGTTGTATAGTCAGTGTCGTTGCTTTGTGGATCTAAAGAAAGTTGACTTTGAAATCCAAAATTCTTCTTTTCGCTTTGTAACATGCTTTTTGAATGATTATTCGAAGTCAGCCTTCAAGTCCAGGCTATGGGAGTGTCTGTACTGACTCTTGTGGATGTGGGAGTGCAGGGCAACTACTCACAGGACCAGAACAGTCACCCTCACATCTAGAGTGACCATCGTGGTCTGTGTGAGAAACAAGCTTACAACACTCTGTCCTCATTCATACACAACCCAGGCCGTCATCAATTTTGTTTTTCTTGCTTTAGAAGTATCAATAAACCTTTCCGACACCTGGCTCATGAATAAATTCACTGATGTTTTGAGGTACTTTCAAATTTTATTTACAAGTTGCTAATCATTTAGACAGAAGGAAGTATGGGCCAAAAGATTGTTGGTGTAGTTGATTGAAGACAGCAGTGTTTAGGGAAGTAGTTTCTCAGCCAGGATGTAGACTGTCTGTAGTCTTGCATGCTTTTGTTCCTTGCAGGACCCCATCAGTAGGTGTGTTATTGAGGACGGCATGTATCTGAAACAGCTAAAGGTGGAGGTATATCTCTACAATATAGTTCTCAGCCTGTATGGCCAGCAAAGTAAAGAACAATCACTGACGAGAGATGTCAGTCGAGCAGCGACAATAGGTACTCACTCTTCTGGTTGTCAGTACCGACAACTGTTATCAACTGTTCCTTGTTTGCATCTGTATCCGTGTAATTGTTTTACTGTTACTTAGGCCTTGTGTTCTTATTCACCTTGTCTATAGATCTTGGTTTGCCTTAGTGTCCTTAGTGGTGAAACATATTCTTAAGGTTATCCCATTAATTTCATCATAAGCTGAATATTTTGCACATATATGCAAATACAAATATGCATATTTTTAATATAGTTTCTGTTATGTTACTCAAGAATCTTTGCAAAGGATGAAAAAAAATATATTTCAATATAACTTCATTAAGTGGCATTTAGAAGCTGGTATGATATAGAGGAACAAATTTTATTGATTGAAAACTTCTTTATTGCTTTTGATATGACATTTTGGTGTAGATGTTAACACCATTATCAAGTAAGTGATAACTGTCTTAGCATCTACACTGAAACGTCATACCTATTGCAGTATAGAAGTACAAGTTGTCAACCAATATAATCTATTCCTCTTTATTTCATTATAGTTTTATTGATGAATGTTGAACTCCAAGTTATTCCTCAAACATGTCTTGTATACAGTGGTAGTGGGGTCATATAGAGAATATTTGTCTTGGTGATTGGGCCGTGTATGGTTGATTGAGAGGCATTGTTTCATTATAGTTTTATTGATGAATGTTGAACTCCAAGTAATTCCTCAAACATGTCTTGTATACAGTGGTAGTGGGGTCATATAGAGAATATTTGTCTTGGTGATTGGACCGTGTATAGTTGATTGAGAGGCATTATTAGAATTGATGTCTTTGCCACCTCCTGATGCATGGTGCATATACCATGGTGAAAACATTCAATATTCTGTTTCTTACAGGATTCAGGTTGTTTTTGTGTAATTTTACTAGTGAAGCCAAGTATTTGAGCAGAAACCTTGTTCAGGATAAAACAGCTCTCAGCAGGGTTCATATTAGATATAGGGGATACAAATCATTTGAGGCCTCTAAACTGAAGACTTACCTATAACCTTAGGTGCAGGAATGATATTTGATGCATTACGGATTCCATCTAGGACTGCAACGATTCCACTATTAGGTGAATATGATACAAATCACAAATATTGGGTAACAAAAACAATTAACAAGTCTGCAGTACTAGTCATTATATTCGGTGCAACAATAAGAAATACATTCTTTGGCATGTTTTATCATGCTAACCATGCTAATTTATCGCAGGGACCAGTGACAGCGTTATTGTTAAGTTACATATGTAGGAATGTTGACTATTACCCTGTCTGGCCTGGATATAATCCATTTTGAATACATCCTTTGGATAAATAAAAAGATAAATACCCAAATTCATGTCAAACACTAAATGTTTTAAATTCATGAAAGTTCGATTCTAATGATCAATTATCTAAAGGAGTATGGTTCGATTCAACGAATATGTGAATGAATTGTAACATCACAAATTTTATTCACTTTACTCTGTAATTCTGAAATCAGGGTAGGTGCCAGTTTCAAGCAGCTGATCAGGACATAATTCATCTGTCTTTCATCAATTGAGTTTGAATTCAACAGGTCAATTGCCACTAAATGAGACCAAGCAAAATTGCTATTTGTCGAGTGCCAAGTGTTATAAAAGATTGCTAAGGGCTCTCTGTTAGCTCTAAAGTGAAAGTGCAGCTTTGACCTTGCATTATGACCCATGGCCTTGAACTGGAGATTAGTGATGTTATCATAGAGCTCGAAAAAAGTAGTAAATCATGGAATGACAGGTGACATTTCCTGGTGGAGGTGTACTGTTAGGTGGATGGTAACAGTGGCAGTTCATTCTTTAGCAGACTAGTGAGCGTTATATTTGAGTCTGACTCGAATATTTCATGTCAATTGTCATGGCTTTGTAGAGAGACAGTATCAGTTTATGATCAGTAGGCAGTCACCTAAAAGGTTTTACTATTTCATTGTAGATACTAGATAGGTATATTTAACATGTTGAATTCAAAATGAAAGTTCTCAACTTATACAAATGACTATAACATGATAACGAGTGGAGCCTTGGGTTCAGGGAAACTTCTGTACTTGCATTCGTAGCAAAATAAGCTGTGTATGCCATAATTCTCTGTGGGAAGGCTTCTTGAACCTTTACTGGTTTGGATACATGTTGATCCCTCTAACACATAGTAGAGGTAAATACTGTTTTGTCATGGACAATATGCAGATTGGATTTTTTACAAGGTAAATGCTAAGCAGTCGGTTTAGGCCTACTGGACAAGTAGAAGTCTGATACATCCTTATTTATTGATTGCCTTCCTGGTAGTTAGGAACACATTTCTAAATCTGTAATACAGGAACAATAAGTACATTGTCATTACCACTGTATTATCTTGCTTCTTGGTATTACTGCCAAATGTGCTGAAATGTTTAACTGTTATGTAAAGATGAGAAATTTAGAAGTAGTGTTTTGCCTGTTTGAAATAAGAAGGTTTTTTTTATAAAAATATTTGTATGCTTAATGTATCCTATACCTGAATGTTTGAACAGCTAACCAGGCTGCAGACAGTTTACGTGTGTCCACACACCCTGTCCTGTTGTTTGTGGTGCACTGATGCTAGTCGTACTAACAAGTTTGCATGGAATATTTCCTTGTCACATTGTAGGCATGCTTCTTTGTATGTGATTTGTTCACTTTCTGTTTGTTGTTACTCAGTTATTCATGATCAATACTTTCAATTACTATTATGTTGGAGGAAACTAAGGGAAGCAACTCACTTTTACATTATATTGTCAGTGGGCTTTCTCAATGTTTGCTGGTTCACTATGTATGTCAGAATGTAAACATGGTAAAAAAAAGTATCTTTTTGGTAAAAAATATAATTTGGGCCTTAAGACATGAAACACTTTTTCCTTTCCATCCTGTTTTACTAGACTCCTTGACACTATCTAAGTTAATGTACAGATTTTCTACTAAATGAGAAGTTTTTTTAGACACATGTCTCCTCCATCCTTGACACATGTCTCCTCTATCCTTAACACATGTCTCCTCCAACCTTGACACACGTCTCCTCATCCTTGACACGTGTCTTCCATCCTTGACACATGTCTTCTCCATCCTTGACACATGTCTCCTCCATCCTTGACACATGTCTCCTCCATCCTTGACATGTGTCTCTTCCATCCTTGACATGTCTCTTCCATCCTTGATACATGTGTCTTCCAACCTCGACACATGTCTTCTCCAACCTCGATACATGTCTCCTCCATCCTTGACACATGTGTCTTCCATCCTTGACACGTCTCCTCCATCCTTGACACGTGTCTGCTCCAACCTCGACACATGTCTGCTCCATCCTCGACACATGTCTCCTCCAACCTCGACACATGCCTCCTCCATCCTTGACACGTCTCCTCCAACCTTGACACATGTCTTCTCCAACCTCGACACACATCTCCTCCATCCTTGACATGTTTCCTCCATCCTTGACATATGCCTCCTCCATCCTTGGCACGTTTCCTCCATCCTTGACATGTCTCCATCCTTGACACGTCTCCTCCATCCTTGACATGTCTTCTCCAACCTCGACACATGTTTCCTCCATCCTTGACACATTTCTCTTCCATCCTTGACACATGACTCCTCCATCCTCGACACATGTCTCTTCCATCTTCTACACATGTCTTCTCCAACTTCGACACATCTCTTCCATCCTTGACACATGTCTTCTCCAACCTCGACACATGTCTCTTCCATCCTTTTCTCTTCCCTCTTTGATACATTACTCCCCCATTCTTGACACATTTTTATTCCATCCTTTCCATACTCACTTTTGACAATCTCAACAATTGTAAATGTTTTTCTTTAATCACATTCATACATTTTTATGATATTCATCAATTTAAGCTTGTAAGCCCTAAACACAGGGCAGTATGTAAAACTCAGCCAGGTGACTTGACCAACTGAGTGATTTCACTGGAAGTGTTGTCGTCCAGATTAGCCAGGTTTCACTGTGTGCTAGTGTAGGAGTGTAGCTATGAGTGACATGCTGACTTGACCGTGTAACAACCAGTGTCTGTGTTGTGCAGCTGAGTTGGAGAAGCTGATGAGACAGGAGTTCAGCATCTCGGAGGACAAGGAGGTGAGGCTGTGGAACCGGTACATGAGCTCCACCTACGAGCATCTCAACAAACCTGACAACACACTGCAGGACGCAGGACTCTACCAGGGACAGGTAAATGTAGACAGTTGTGTGTTAGTGTGGAACTAGGCACAGTCATCCGGGGCATCCTTACCTGTCAGCATGCCGATCGGGTTACAACCGTTTACAGCACTACATGTACAGCACTACATGTACAGCACAACAAGTACAGCACAACAAGTACAGCACTACATGTACAGCACTACATGTACAGCACTACATGTACAGCACAACAAGTACAGCACAACAAGTACAGCACAACAAGTACAGCACTACAGCACTTCATGTACAGCACTACATGTACAGCACTACATGTACAGCACTACATGTACAGCACTACATGTACAGCACAACAAGTACAGCACAACATGTACAGCACTACATGTACAGCACTACAGCACTTCATGTACAGCACTTCATGTACAGCACTACATGTACAGCACTACATGTACAGCACTACATGTACAGCACTACATGTACAGCACTACATGTACAGCACTACATGTACAGCACTACATGTACAGCACTACATGTACAGCACTACATGTACAGCACTTCATGTGCAGCACTACATGTACAGCACTACATGTACAGCACTACATGTACAGCACTTCATGTGCAGCACTACATGCAGCACTACATGTACAGCACTTCATGTGCAGCACTACAGCACTACATGTACAGCACTTCATGTGCAGCACTACATGTACAGCACTACATGTACAGCACTACATGTACAGCACTACATGTACAGCACTTCATGTACAGCACTACATGTACAGCACTTCATTTACAGCACTACATGTGCAGCACTACATGTACAGCACAACATGTACAGCACTACATGTACAGCACAACATGTACAGCACTACATGTACAGCACTACATGTACAGCACTACATGTACAGCACTACATGTACAGCACTACATGTACAGCACTACATGTGCAGCACTACAGCACTACATGTACAGCACTTCATGTGCAGCACTACATGTACAGCACTAAATGTACAGCACTACATGTACAGCACTACATGTACAGCACTACATGTGCAGCACTACATGTACAGCACTACATGTACAGCACAACAAGTACAGCACTACATGTACAGCACAACATGTACAGCACTACATGTACAGCACTACATGTACAGCACTACATGTACAGCACTACATGTACAGCACTACATGTACAGCACTACATGTACAGCACTTCATTTACAGCACAACATGTACAGCACTACATGTACAGCACTTCATTTACAGCACAACATGTGCAGCATTACATGTACAGCACAACATGTACAGCACTACACTACATGTGCAGCACTACATTTACAGCACAAATGTACAGCACTACATGTACAGCACAACATGTACAGCACTACATGTGCAGCACTACATGTACAGCACTACATGTACAGCACAACAAGTACAGCACAACATGTACAGCACAACAAGTACAGCACTACATGTGCAGCACTACATGTACAGCACTACATGTACAGCACTACATGTGCAGCACTACATGTACAGCACTACATGTACAGCACTATGTGTGCAGCACTACATGTGTACAGCACTTCATTTACAGCACAACATGTACAGCACAACATGTACAGCACTACATGTACAGCACAACATGTGCAGCACAACATGTACAGCACAACATGTACAGCACTACATGTACAGCACTACATGTGCAGCACTACATGTGCAGCACTACATGTACAGCACTACATGTGCAGCACTACATGTACAGCACTACATGTACAGCACAACAAGTACAGCACAACAAGTACAGCACAACAAGTACAGCACAACATGTACAGCACAACATGTGCAGCACTACATGTGCAGCACTACATGTACAGCACTACATGTACAGCACTACATGTACAGCACTACATGTACAGCACAACATGTGCAGCACTACATGTGCAGCACTACATGTACAGCACTACATGTGCAGCACTACATGTACAGCACTACATGTACAGCACTACATGTGCAGCACTACATGTGCAGCACTTCATGTACAGCACAACATGTGCAGCACTACATGTGCAGCACAACATGTACAGCACTACATGTGCAGCACTACATGTGCAGCACTACATGTACAGCACTACATGTACAGCACTACATGTACAGCACTACATGTGCAGCACTACATGTACAGCACAACAAGTACAGCACTACATGTACAGCACTACATGTGCAGCACTACATGTGCAGCACTACATGTACAGCACAACATGTACAGCACAACATGTACAGCACTACATGTGCAGCACTACATGTGCAGCACTACATGTGCAGCACTACATGTGCAGCACTACATGTGCAGCACTACATGTACAGCACAACATGTACAGCACTACATGTGCAGCACAACATGTACAACACAACATGTACAGCACTACACTACATGTACAGCACTACATTGATTGTCATACATCAGTTTCATCAGCTTGATCAGTTTAGTACTGTTGAAAACGGAGATTGGGATGACTGTTTTGAAACTGGTCTGGGTTGATTACTGGGAACTCTGAAACTGCTCTGCACTTCTGTCAAAATAGTTTGTACTAACCAGTGCTAGGTTGTCTTCAGCTGAATACCTAGTTGTGTAGTTAACTGTTTGAAAATGCTCAAAGACTGACCCATTGCCATGACCCAAGACATCAGTGTGAGAAGCCCAATCTTGGTGTACCTGTCCAGTGTCCTACAAAGACGCACAGGTGTGAGATGACGATAGTCCTTACAAAGCTATATTCAATCAGACAAGATTGTGACTCTTTTCTCATATACATTTACATTGATTTTATTTATTTGTGAAAATATAGCATTTCTTTCATTTCCCTCCTTCAAGGTGATAGTGATAGAGGAGAAGAATGAGGATGGTACCTGGCCTCGACAAGCCAAGAGGTAAGTCGTCAGTGCAATTTAGATGCGACCCTCTGATGCTTGGTGAAGTGAGATGATTGACTACTCAATTATGCATGTATGTAGTTTATTGTTTAAAGCCACACTTAGCCATATTCCAGCTATATGGAAGCAGTCTGTAAAAAGTGGAATCTGGATCAGACAATCCAGTGCTCAACACTTTGAGTATCAATCTTCACAATTGGGATTCGATAACATGTGTCTACCAAGTGTCTACCCGATCCCATTAGTTACCTCTTGCGACAAGCATGGGTTGCTGAAGACCAGTTCTAACCCGGACCTTCATGGGAACACTAAGATATGGGTCATCAGTGTTGTTGTTTTTCTTCATAACACACAAGGTGATATAACTTGAAATAAATGGTCAGGTGTGACCTCACATATGTACATGTGTGACCTTGTTGTTTCCAGCACAAGCAGCTACAACTCCACCGGCTCCTATGAACGCTCGTCCTACACGACCCGGTACGTACATAATTCTGAATAGGTCATATTGAACACTGCGTACACCTTGGTCTGTACAACAGTCTACCATCTGGACGGCAGTTTTAGGTCATATCTGAACACTGCGTACCCCTTGGTCTGTACAAGTCTACCATCTGGATGGCAGTTTTAGATCATATCTGAACACTGCGTACCCCTTGGTCTGTACAACAGTCTACCATCTGGACGGCAGTTTTAGGTCATATCTGAACACTGCGTACCCCTTGGTCTGATGCTATCACCAGTCATTCCTTGCTGATTGTGATTGTGCTGTGTCTCCAGGTCGGGTGGTGGCTATGGCGGCAGCAGCTACGATTCGGGCTACAGTTATGGAAGCTATGATTCTGGTTACAGTAAAGGCAGTGGTGCTGCCAACCCTGGACTGTGTGGACTGGCCAACCTCGGAAACACCTGCTTCATGAACTCAGCCCTGCAGGTGAGCAGCTCATCTCCCTTATATGTAGAACTAGAGATGGAGGAGAGGTGTCATTGCATGAGCAGCATGCCCCTTGTAGCGCTGGTAACTGCCTTCCCAAGGCAAGGGAGTTAAATGGCTATAGAAGTCACCCTGTCTTAACTGGGCCAGAATTTTGTGGCTAGATCCTAGTTCCACAAGTGGCCGTTATGGTTAGGTCCCTTCTATGCCTTCTCATTGACATTCTCATATCTCTTGCATCTTCCTGAGACAAGATTGCAGTGCCCATCAAGATGATCTCATTGAGAATGGAGAGTTTTTTGGGAAAAACAGGTCTTACATAGCTAAGTGCATCAAATCACTTGTGCAGATTAAAATCTTGGTCCTGTAATGGAAAGAAATCTCCATGACAGTTCCCATGTTATTTTGTTACACAATTTTTATTTGACTTTGCATAGACACGTTATTCTGATCAGAATAAAACTTTGAAATTGCATTTAAGTTTAGCAAGGGTGAAAACTGGACTTACGTGATCAGTTACTAACTTTCATTGTATGAGCAACATGCCCCATGAATTGCTGGTAACTTTGTTTCAGTGAATGAGGAACATGCCCCATGAATTGCTGGTAACTTTGTTTCAGTGTATGAGCAACGTGCCACAGTTGACAGACCATATGATGGATGACAAGAAATGGGAGAAGGAACTGAACGAGGACAACCCGCTTGGCAACAAGGGCGAGATCGCCAAGTCGTATGCTGAGCTCATCAAGACCATGTGGTCTGGGAGGTACAGCTACACAGTACCCAGGAACTTCAAGGTGAGACTGACTAGTGGGAGGACAGGAACATGCATGTACGGCAATGTCGGTGAATGCACTGTTAATAGTCTTTGCATGTCACCTCACCTCACCTCAAAAGATATTAGGGGGCAGTGGGGTAGCCTAGTGGTTAAAGCGTTGGCTCGTCACGCCGAAGACCCGGGTTCGAATCCCCACATGGGTACATTGTGTGAAGCCCATATTTTTCCTTATCCTGACTCATGCTCTTTTGCTTGTCTTCTTCTTCTTGCGAACATAGTGGAACACTTGTATCTCCCTAATTGAAGCTCCCTTCAATGTAAAATCACTAATTAGTACTCACCACGAGTTGCCTCCCTTTGCCTTTGTGCGGGAAAGGCGGCGCCACCTTCTGGCCTCATGCTTCACTCTCTCCTTTCGCCCAGTGAGCAGGATGTGAGAGCGCCTGTGTCTCCCTACACACTATATCCTTTGGTTATTCTTAGTTAGTTACCTCTTATAGTTTACTATAGAGGTGTAGCTAGTATCCTTCATCAATATGTATTGATAATTATTATAATTTCTACTGTTTATTCACGGGATTCCGTGATTGTTCAGCTAGTTTACGTTGATGAAAATCTGTACTATTTGTAGATTACGTTTTTCTGCTGCTGACCCGCATTTAATATGCCCTAGCTGTACTACGCCTTGTGCGTTTTCTTCACGTTGCAGTTACTGTATTAATCTATCTAATTCTGCATTTAATAAATATCATCTTTGCGTCTTGAGACGTGCAGCAGATAGGTCACGCAAACAAGGTTTAGCCATGGCCGATACATCGGACCCCCTAGCCAGTCAGCTGCTGTCGGACGACCCCCTCCCGTCTGGTGTTCCGCTAGAGTTTCCCTCGGAGGAGGGGCGTGGGATTCAGTCCGCTGTCTCCAAGAAGCGTCTTGCTTCCCCAGACATCCCGTCATCGCAGCCAAAGTCTAAGAGGGCCTCGACATCTACTCAACGCAGACTCCGTACCCCCAGGGCAGCGTCTACCTCCAAGGGGAAATCTACGAAGTCTTCAAGAACGTTCTCAGCCGAGATTGTTCCAGCTGCTGAACCGGGCCTGTATGATGATCAGCCGATCATCATACCCGATCTACGCCACAAGAGACGACCGGTGTCGGCAACAGTGACGTCAGCACAGATCGCCATGCAGCCTGATGTGTCTACACTGATGTCGGACGATCTTCCTGAGGGCCCTGTCGCTAACATCGCAGAGAGGGCACCGACTACATCTTCACAGGCCTGATGCGGCAAATCATGAAGATGATGGAGGACCGTTACAGACTGGAGAGATAACCAGCCCAGAGCCTGAGCCTTCGCGAAGGCTCCAACGTAGACGACATCCCAGAGGGACCCCCCGTCAACGTAGCGGCCAGGACTAAGCCACCTCCGCCAAGGAAGTCACAGACCACCTCGACGAAGGACCCAGATGTACAGCCTTCGCGAAGGGCTTCTAGATCATCACCTACCTCGGACTCTGATGATCAACACTCACATAAAGGCTCGAGAAGGAAGATCACCTCATCCCTGGACTCTGACTCGGACCCCCAGACTTCACGAAAGCCTTCGCGAAGGTCAAGTCGTCGCTCCCCAGGACCGGAGCAGATGAAGCTTCGCGAAGGTCTTCACGAAGGGCACCAGTAACAGGCTCCAAGTCATCTTCGTCCAGAAGGTCATCCAGGGATTCCACAAGGGCTTCGCGAAGCTATCAACGTTCACCACATAGATCTCCGCGAAGGTCAACCTTTAGACGCAGCTCGTCAGGCCGTTCACCAAGACGATCTCCTCGCCATTCTCCATGCCGATCACCTCGCCGTTCACCTCGCCGATCTCCTCGTAGATCACCACGTCGATCTCCTCGCAGGTCACCACACAAGTCTTCACGGAAGTCCCAAGTCAGGTCTCCTTTAACATCACCCTGTACAGCGGTAGAAGCATATAGCTCACCATCAGAAGAGCATCAACCTCTTATCAGCGATCCCGTTGTAGAAGATGATGGAGGCATCATTTTCTCAGACGCTGAGATACGCTATTGGATGGTTAACAACCTAGACCTATCTTCACCTTCCAAGAGTGGTAATTCGGCGCATACTTACCTGATGAAGGAGGACGATGCAGACACCATCACCCTACCTCCGATCGACCCGATTGCTACGGTGCCACAGAATCTGGACACAGCCTTCCATAAAGCCACTAAAGTCCAAGCGCCACACCTACCGCAGTTTAACGCTAAGAAGTTCTCAAGGCACAAGACATCGATGATAATTACAAAGTGATCAACGATGTCAAGAATAAGAACTATAAGATTGACGATCGCAAGCTGGTTCAGATAGAAACCATGACAAGGCGAATGTTCTTTGGCCTTAATAGATCTAGAACGATCAATGAGACTCTTATCACCAGATTTCGAGACACGACATCTGAGGATGATAGAATGATCTACTCGGCCCTACTTATGCAGAAGAAGGACCAGCAGTTCCTAACGGATCATCTCACATCAGTCTCAGCAGCGTTAACTTTAGCTCGTCGTCAAGGCCTCCTCGCTTCCTGCAGCTGGGGTGAGCAGTTTACAGCTCCACTCTATACAGCCCCATGGTCTTTACCATCCATCTTTGACGGAGGAATAGAGAAAGTCTCCAAGGAAGTCACTAAGGATTCTAGAGAAGTCCTTATGATAAAGTCGATGGACACGCTAGCCAGCGTCATCAGGCAGACTTCACAAAGATATTCAGGGAAATCTAAATTCACTGGATTACAGAGAGCACGGGATAGGAAGATGGCCAGCTCCAGGGGAAAAGATTCTTTTCCTCGCCCATATGGCAACTACAGAGGAGGATCAGGAAGAGGCAGGGCACCCAGAGGTTCCCGCAACTATAAACGATGAAAGACAGGTTCGGAACGACTGGAGTCTTCCACCCCCAGCCGTTCCAGTACAACCGTCACAAGTGGGTGGACGCCTTCAACTGCACTGGGAGAACTGGGGAATGTTACAAGACCCATATGTCTCCAACATTCTTCAGCACGGATATCGAATCCAACTACAGGCCACGCCTCCGCTGACAGTCAACCCTCACAAGTTCGACTTCCAGGCACAACAACTACCAAAGTTAAGAGAGGCTGTTACATCTCTCCTAACCAAGCAGGCCATAGAAGTACTAGATCAAGTAAACATCGAACCAGGCTTCTACTCCCCAGTTTTCCTAGTGCCCAAGAAAAACTCCAAGGAGAAATACAGACTCATTTACAACATGAGCACATTCAACAGAGATTATCTACGCAAACCGCCAACGTTTCGCATGATACATCTACCTCAATTACGCACTTAATTCGGTCCCATGGACTACATGGCCAGTATAGATCTGCAAGATGCGATCTATCTACATCCCCGATACATCCCGAATCCAGGAAATACCTACGGTTTACACTAGACGGGCTGCATTACCAATGGAAAGTACCCCATTCGAATATCATCGGCCCCTGGTTATTCACAAGAGTAACGAAACCTATCGTCACCTACCTACATCGTCTAGGGCTACGAGTGCGCTCTACCTCGACGACGGGATACAAGTAGATCAAGATCCACAGCGTCTCAAACTACAGTTAAACTACATCATCAAGCTACGAACACAGCTAGGATGGTTAGTAAATTTACTCAAGTCGGACCTAGTACCCACGCAAGATCTGCAATTTCTAGGCATTCGATTTATCACGACTCTCAACCGTATCGTCGTACCAGAAGACCGATGGCTCAAGATCCAACAGACCATTCCACTAGCCCTACTCTCTCCGCTACCACTACGACATTGGCAGAGTCTGTTGGGTCTCCTCACGTCAGCCCAAGACATGACAGTCAGAGGCAGACTACAGTTACGTCCATTACAGGTCTTCATCAATGCTCATCTCGACGACCTACAACCATTCAGTCTACACCAAACACCTCAGACCTCATCTACTATGGTGGACCAGGAGGTCGAATGTCTGTTCATGGAAGGCATTTATTTAACAGAGCCGAATTCAAAACCCATCTCTATGTAGACGCTGCCGCCCAAGGTTGGGGAGCTCATCTCGCCAACCGGACGGCTTCAGGGTTATGGAATCAGCAAGAAAGCAAGCTCCATATAAACATGTTAGAGATGAAAGCGTAATCAACGCCATACTTCATTGGAGCACCATTCTGCAAAAGGCGATCTGATGATTCATACCGACAACTCAACAGTGGCGCTTTTATGTGAACAAACAAGGCTCAACGAGATCACTGAACCTATTGACTTTTATGCTTTCAACTGTTCGATCTAATCGACGATCTCAACTTACATGTCAGAGCATGTCACATTCCCGAGCCAAGAATGTACTAGCAGACGACTCTCTCGCCACATCTACCGCCACCGACAGAATGGATGCTCCATACAGAAATTTTGCACAGATTATCAAGCAAATAGGAGCTCCGCTTAGTAGATCTATTCGCCACTCGCTTCAACAATCAGCTAACGACATTTGTATCACCAGTCCCGATCCACAAGCGTGGGCAACGGACGCTTCTAAGCATATCCTGGAAGGCCTCAATGCGTCGGCGCTTCCCGCCAGCTTAATCCCTCAAGTGTTACAGAAAATCAGACAAACACAGAGCCTTCCAACTGATTTTGGTCGCACTTACTGGCTAGCGAGAACGTGGTTTCCCATTCTAATTCAAGAAATCGGACAACCAACACTAGAGCTACCAAAGCTCGAATCTACTAGTACATCCTCACACCAAACAGGCGCGACGAAACCCAGAAGCATTCCAACTTCAATGATGGACTGTATTAAAGTGTGTTTAAACAAGAGAGGTTATTCAGCCAGTCGCTAAAAGCAGTCACGCTTTGCTTTACGCTATTCTACACGTAACTTGTACGACGACAAGTGGCACAGTTTCGAAAATTACGCAGCAAAAAAGGGATTTACAGCGAGAAATGCTACACATCCACAAGTGGCTGATTATCTGTGTTACCTACGCCAAAATAAACATTTAAAAGGCTCGACATTGTCAACATATCTTGCCGCGCTTAGTTCTGTGATAACTATGAGAACGGGTGTCAAGCTAACCAAGACGCCAGAGTTACTGGCCTTACTACGTGCATTCCGATTGGAAGATCAGAAACGGAAGTTCCGCGTTCCAGCTTGGGATCTAAATATAGTGCTCCAACACCTCACAAGTGAGGTTTATGAACCGTTGGAATCAACAACCTTTGAATTTCTCTCACAGAAAACCTTGTTCCTGTTATCTCTAGCGACGGCAGCCAGGATGTCAGAAATTCACGCACTAGATTATGAGAGGATACGGTTTGACGACAATCAAAACACAGTGCACTTGGGACTACGATGGGATTTCATCGCCAAAAATCAATTGCCAGGTCAACCAGACAGATTATTCCATGTTCCTGCACTCTCCTCGATTCTCGGATCTCAAGATACGCTGGACCTATCTCTATGCCCAGTCAGAGCTCTCAAAATCTATCTACGACGTTCCAAAACGAGGCTTAATTTACATCTCAAACGATTATTCATCCCTATATCGGCAACTACTCAGACCGAAGTCTCTCGTACCACCATATCTATATGGATAAGAACTGTCATACTTCGCACCTACAAGACTGCAGGACTCGACCCTCCAAGAGCATCTAATCCGCATGAGATCAGAGCATTGGCTTCCACACTCGCGCTACATGGTAACTGCTCATTAAATACCATCATGGAGGGCTGCTTTTGGAAATCCGACATGGTGTTTGCTAATCACTATCTGAGAGATATCACCACCGAGGACGTCTCAGGTATTCACCATTTCGGTCCCATGGTCCTCGCACAGCAGTTGACAGTCCCTCGTAGACGATAAGACATAGTCTTACGAGATTATTATGTATATTTCATACCAGTATTATCTAGCTTATAACTCTACGGAGTTTTAGGGCTATTTATATACTTAGCTTAAGTCTACTTAGCCTTAAGCCCAGTACTGATGTTTATGTACAGTTGGGTAGCTTCTCCATGCTTGAGTCGCTTTTTATACCTTTATTGCTATTATCATAGTATATTATTATTGTAATACCCCATCTATGGCAGCGGATAAACTTATGGTTTATAGTAGCAGGAATTATCCTAATTCAGTGCCATTATGAAGTTCCCGTAAAGGGGGTTATTACATATATATATATAAATCACTAATTAATTTTATAAAATCCAAAGTATTCTGGTCTTTCCCACCTCCGCTTCCTCGAGAGGGATTCTACAAGTAAAAGAGCATGAGTCAGGATAAGGAAAAATATGTAATTTTCTGAGTAAAATTGATATTTTATACTTATCCTGACTCATGAGGTAAGCCCTCCCATCCTCCCCACATAACACTTTGGATTTCCCTGTAAATTCAAGTGTTGGGCTCGCTATATCAGGAGAGAGTGAAGCATGAGGCCAGAAGGTGGCGCCGCCTTTCCCGCGCAAAGGCAAAGGGAGGCAACTCTTGGTGAGTACTAATTAGTGATTTTACATTGAAGGGAGCTTCAATTAGGGAGATACAAGTGTTCCACTATGTTCGCAAGAAGAAGAAGACAAGCAAAAGAGCATGAGTCAGGATAAGTATAAAATATCAATTTTACTCAGAAAATTACATTTCTGGTGTCCCCTGCCGTGATGTTGCTGGAATATTGCTAAAAGCGGCATAAAACCAAACTCACTCACTCACTCTAAAGATATTAGAAACAAATGATAAGGCGAATGGAGAATTATGTTATATTTCATAGAGAAAACAAGCCATGCAACAAGATTTTACTGCAGAACTATGGTGTTTTTTATATCAAATCACGTTGATACTTGCATGAAACAATACGGGAGATGAAACATGAGAAAGGTAAAGTTGGTACTTGTGTAGAAATCATACCTCTCTGTGCAGGTTGCTGTAGGCCGATTTGCACCCCAGTTCTCTGGATACCAACAGCAGGACTCGCAGGAGTTGATGGCATTCCTGCTTGACGGGCTTCATGAAGACATGAACAGAATCCGGAAGAAGCCCTATGTAGAGCTGAAAGATGATGACGGAAGGCCAGACTCAGTCAGTAACAACTCTGTGGTGTCCTTCTCAACTACATCTTTTTATAGGATCGGTCACTATATACTACAGTATTCAGATTTGTACAGTAGTTGATTGTGCACTAGATGTAACAGTTTCTGTATATATGTACGGTCTTCCTTTGCAGATGGTGGCTGCTGAAGCTTGGGAGAATTACCGCAAAAGGAATGATTCGATAATTGTTGACATATTTCATGGACTTCTCAAATCCACCGTGCAGTGTCCTGAGTGTTCAAAAATCTCTGTGACCTTTGACCCATTCTGTTACCTCTCACTGCCCCTTCCTATCAAGAAAGAACGGCAGATGGAAGTGTTCTGGGTGCCCCTTGCTCCCAAGGCGAAACCAGTGCAGGTACGTTACTGATTGTCTTCTTGTAAGGCTATGGTCTTTGGGTTGTATTGACTGCTGGACTAGTGTAGTGGTTACAGGGTTGGCTGTCATACCTGGGTTTGATGCCCCATATATCTACAGTGTATGCTAATGTGGTGATTATCGCTAAAATCTGTGTAAATCCTGCCCACTCACCACTGTACTATTTGTGAGTTGATTATGAAAGCCCAAACCATTTTACCAGCTACTGAGAGTAAAATATTTTGGACAAGGACAAGATTATGTATCTTATAGAAATTGTTGTAATGCTACTTACCCTGTTTAACTGCTGGTGGATTTCCAGTGCAGATTGTGTACAAATCATGTACCCTATGTTAGTTATATGTGGAATGAGTTGTGTCACCCAGATCTGATATCAATGATGTGGGTAAACCAGTGCTACACTATCAACCAGTGGTTCTAACAGACCACACTCTTGTCTATAGGCTGCAGTGATATTGCTATAACTATGTCATAAAAGAAAGTTAATGAGAGAAGTTCAGGTCCAAAAGTAATCATAATTGTTTAACCATTGTTTTGTTTTTTATGTTAATTTTATCATTTGTATTGCCATAGAAACGAGATTTGTTTCGTAAATGTTGGAAGTGCTTCACACTGATACTTTGGTCATCCTGAGTAATAATGTTTCTTTTTTCAGTTCAAACTGACCGTTCCTAAGATGGGAATTGTTGGCGACATATGTAAGGCGTTGTCATCCTTTGTTAATGTCCCATCAGAAAAGGTGAGTTAGTGTCTGAGAAAGGAATCCTCTGTATTTGTGTGTAGACAACAAAAAACTGTCACTGACTGAGAATATGAAAAAAAAACAGAACTTGAGAAAAGACCTATGGTCACTTTAGTACGTCTCTTACTGTCTTCTTTAAAACATGCTTCCTCATTGAACCTTTAAAAAGAGGGTTTTCTGACAAACTGGTTTCCCCTTAATAAACAATACGGGCTGCTCTGGGGATAGTAGGATGTTTGTACCCAGTATCTGTACAAGTCTCTCAAGCTTCTGCGTTTGTTGTTTTGTTGCAGATGGTTGTCACTGATGTCTATAACCACAGGTTTCACCGAGTCTTTGCCCTGGAGGAAGGTCTCAACCACATCCTAGACAGAGATGACATATTTGTGTAAGTTCCAAGGATCTATTGTTCAACTGACAATATGGAAGTTGTTACATGGGTAGTGGAGTGCAGACCATGTGTTTTCAAATATTGAAGCCCATGATATTGTCTCCCTTTGGTATGGTTTATAGTTTTATCTGAAGGGGAGATAACTGCAAGGATTGCCTCCCTTAGTATATCCATGTATGTGATGGTTTCAGATACGAGGTGCCAGTGAATACTGCTGAGGATCCCAACACTCTCATTGTTCCTATCTATCTACGGGAGAAACGGTAAGTAGCAGATATTGTCACAACAAATGGACAGTCATTAATATTTCAGGGCTGAAACAGAAACTTACTCCCGTGATAGTGTTACCATCTTCGAGATTCACAACACTATTCCAGACAGAATAGTTGCCACACATTAGAGCTGAAGACAGGATAAGGTTACTGTGACTGTATTGATTGTTGCTGTCCCCCTAGGGTTTGGGGGTATGCCTCTCTAAGTAACCTTACATCTATCACTCTCTGTACAGTAATACAGCCATCACTCTCTCAAGTCTTGTATTTGTCAGATCATCTGTTACACTAATGAATACATCATGTTGCCAGTGAGGACAGAGTTAGAATACATCCCAGCACTACAGTGTATTTGGTAGGAGTTGATGTTATTTGATGGTCAGGTATCGATTGTGGTGCAATGGCACGGGACGATGATGGTATGTCTACACATGGAGTTCCCTGATTCTACTCAAGTTATCACAATTCTAGCTGGAATATCCTGCCTTCAGTGTAAAACAACTACAGAAATATTACACCATGTGAGTGACAAGCTGTGTATATTCCAGGTCATCAGGCAAGGATGCCTATGTGTCCAGCAACCAGTTGTTCGGTCAACCCCTCCTCCTACCAGTACCCAAGGGGACGTGTAGCTATGAGGAACTCTATACCCTGCTCCTGCAAAGAATGTCGTAAGTATTTTGTTTTGTTACATGGTCAGACTAAATAGAAAGTCATGACCGCTCTCACTTTTATTGTCTGCAAAACATTCTCTGTTCATGCTCTTTGCATCATATTTCAAAAATTTGAATATGTTTAGTATTCAGTTGTTTAGTATATGTTTGTTTTTGATCGTCCCTAGACGTTATGTGAAGACGCCAAAGCCAAGCGAGCAGTGGTGGGTGAAGTTGAAGAAGAGAGAGGATCCCCAGGAGGATGAGAAGGACAGCAAGGGGGACATGGGAGGGGATGGGGGAGACAACTCTTCAAACAACGCTGATGAGAAGGAGACCCTAGAGAATGAGGAGCCTCAAGTTAATGGGGGTATGTGCTCTGGATCCGAGGAGAGTGCAACTATTTGTGCCAAAAATTTCCTTGATGGTGAGGTCACTCTTTGTCTATGGATCTCCCCCATTTTTTTTCATATGTTACAGGTTTTGTATCCTGTTATTGTAAATGTGTCACAGCTCAACACTGATACCCAGTTTGAATGTGCCGTAGCTGAATTCATGGGTGATAACTGTTGATCACATTCATCACTTTGTACTTTCCTCACTCACTTAAGCTTTTCTGTGATGCAAGCAACACATAACACGTAATGGATGATGGCAGGAAGAGTTATCCCCCTTTGCTTCCTCCACAGAGGTGAGCAGTATGGACACCAATGTATCTGATGACGAGTTGGAGACAGATCGGGCTGCAGAGAAGATGGGAGAAGATGAGGAAGAGGAGGAGGATGAAGGCCCTAGACGGCTGTTCACCTTCTCTCAGGTCAACTCATATGGCAGCAGCGAGCTGGACGGCAAACTGCTGGACGATGGTCGGCCTCTCAAGCTTACATCCAAGACCTACATTGCTCTGGACTGGGATCCTCTGGCTAAAGAAAAGTTTTATATTGAGAAAGATGCTGAGGTACGTGACTGCACATGTTCACATGAACAAGTTCAATCAGCTATTTGACACTTTGTGAATGTATGGAAACTCTAGTTGTGGTGTTAAATGATGTGGAAACAAGTATAATATTCAGCTGATAAGGCTCAACAGTACCATGTTGATAGTGTCAAGTAGCAGATGGTGAAGAAATGTTAATGTCCCAAGCTCTGAGAGCGAAAATGGAAATTACTTTTGTTCCCTAGACTTAGCTTAAGGATGAAATGTACACATTTGATGAAGAGACTTGTTATTGCAGGATTTTGAGCAGCATGACACCATCCGGTACCGCAATGTGCCCAAGAGGCAGGCCATCCAGCTCAATGACTGCCTCAAGATCTTCACAGATGCAGAGAAACTCAGCGAACATGACCCATGGTTTGTGCACCACCAAATTGCTTAAAAAGTAGTACCACTACATGTATGTATGTATGTGTGTGTGTGTGTGTGTGTGTGTGTGTGTGTGTATGTATGTATGTATTTTTGTATGTATGTAATTCAGTATAGGGCCTCATAACTATCTGTAATCATTTTCTTTCGAGAGCATGACTCAAAAAATGTTCAATATTTTTCAACAAAAATTGTTAAGATATTTCAAACAGAACCTAAAGTTGTGTCTTTTGCTATTTACAGATTTTTATCATTTTCATTTTTCTCGGTTTCCCTGAAACATGTAAGACTTAGTCTCAAAAGGGAGGGGTGGGCTTTGTTTCCATAGCTTTTATTTTCTTTTTGAAAGACTTGGCAGATATATCAAACAGATCTTGAAGTGGTGCCTTTTGCTATTTACAGATTTTTGGTATTTATATTTTTCATGTTTTCCATGCAAATGATTTGGAGGTAGTCTGAAAGAAATACAGTTGGACTTTAAGTAACTGTCAGATGATTTGTTCTTTCCAATATGTGGGGGCCAGGGGAATTTGTCATCTTCTGATGACTCATGTTTATTTGGAAATGACAGACTCCCAGGATCTTGTATGTTATTCATAAGACACCATCGACCTACCATGTGTACATGTGTGAATCAATGACTAGAGTGACATCTGTGATGTGCAGGTACTGCCCGTCTTGTAAGCGCCACCAACAAGCCACGAAGAAGTTCGACCTGTGGTCACTGCCAAATATGCTCATCATCCACTTGAAGAGGTTCTCCTACAACAGATACTGGAGGGACAAGATTGATGCTCTCGTTGAGTTCCCCACAGAGTAAGTACTCCACACCTTCACATCCTCTCCCACAGCACGAACATCTGTATGTATGCAGTTTGTACAAAACACATTCATGTTTCATGTTACATGTTACAATTGCTAGGCTTTCTGAACCATCATGAATGAAGACCCTGTGATGGTAGCATCCTTGTTGACTGTTGCAGAGGTCTTGATTTACGGAAGTACATCATCAACCCAGACCATGGCCGTGCTGTGTACGACCTCATCTCTGTTTCCAACCACTATGGGGGACTTGGAGGAGGACACTGTGAGTATATAAAGAAGATATTGGTTCCATGTTGAGAATTACACAGATGCACATTTAGCTGACTCTTCTGAAGTGTTTGAAGGGAGCTTTCATGTACTGCTTCTTCAGCATATGGTATGCCATCTGAAAATGTTTTTGTCGTTCCGGCATATAGTCAATGCCTTGTCTGTCTGGTGACAGATATTTTAGTAGATATATCAAACAGAACCTAAAGTAGTACCTTTTGTTATTTACAGATTTTTTGGCATTTTTGTTTTTGAACTTTCCAATGGAAACAATTTGGACTTAGTCTCAAAAAGGGGTGGATTTCGTTTCCAGAGCACAACTTAAAACAAGTAGACATGACTTGATCTTCAGTGTATAGATACAGGCATACATGTATTGGAGTTTGTCTCTCCCGTAGCTGTTCTCCGACTGCTGGTGTTTTCTACACCCAGTGACATGGATCAACTGTTTGGCTAACCTGTAGTAGGACTATCTTGCCTTGGGCAGTAAGTGTAAGCAGTGTATGTTTCCAAGTGAGCTCCTGTTGACAGTGAATGTAAGTCATATCATCTGCTTCTATTTTACCTCAGACACGGCATTTGCGAAGAACAAGGAGGAGAATGAGTGGCATTATTTCGACGACTCCAGCGTGAGTCAGTCCAGTGAAGAGGCTGTTGTGTGGTAGGTAGCCTTGTAATCTCCACTGAGATGAAGGATGTTAGTCATTCTGTTCCCATTAGTCCATAACACAATATATATAATATAGTGTAAGATATCTCTGGCAATCAGTATTAGTTATACCCATTTTTAGATGATATGTAGTGAATGTGAGGTGTCCACATGGAACCAGCGATCCTGATCAAACAGAAATAATTGATGAGTCCACTATTTCATTCTGTGTGAATTCCTTCCAGACAAAAGCTGCGTATGTGTTGGTGTATCAGAAGCGAGAACAAAAAATGCCCCCGCCGCCTGTGCCTGCAAAAAACCAAATCAGCCACTGTGACTACAGCGTCTGCCAGCTCTGCAGCTGAGGCAGAGACATCGTGTTGCACCAATGGACTTGAATCTCCAGACAGTGCTCATTGCAATGATATTGAGATGGATACGTCGACATGATACCCTCCTGCATAGATGATCGTTACCAAATGAACGCACCTCCCTGGTACCACCCATCTCACCACGGATTCCTTCAACAAGTGTAGAGGAGACCAAAATACAGGGCAAGAAATAGATACAATGCTAGAGAAAGGTACCACAATTGTACAACACTGCTTCAGACAAGCTACATTTCTTTGGAAGTAAACCAAGATAGACTAGGAACAGTTGACAAGCTTCCACAAGGATATATACAGTAGAGAGATAGGTGACACTCCTAGCTGTGCAGGACCTTGTTCCAGGACAGGATGGTGTTGCCCGATGATAGCACCACATCATCTGAAACTATTGACAATATACGATCTGGATTCTAATGAAGATTTAGTGTTCAACAGATGTTTCCTTTGCCTCTGTGTGAGATATTTTAGCAAGTTAAGAATCTACTGGGATGTCAAGTGCTGTTCTGTGTCAAATACCACACTTCTTTCATGTAAGGGTCTCCATATAGGGCATCCAGTTGTTCTGTTATAGATGTCTGGTAGCGACCTTAGTGTCTCATAGGTTTGTTACACACACCGGAGCTAGAAGATGGAAATTGAGGCTCTTTATTTGAAGAAATATATCTCTACCTAAAATACCAATGTCAAACCAGACACTTTCAAATAGTGTTTCTGTTGCTTTTTGGCTTGCCCTTACTGAGAAGCAGTCATTAAGAAGTGTTAAATGTTTCAACTGCAACTCTTTAAACGGTCATTCTTTCTATTTGGGATACTGACTGATGTCTCAAGTGCATGATGCTTCCACGATGATCGTGGTGGCGGGTTGTCATTCATGTAGAACAGTACCCCCAAGGTCAAGGTCAACTGATGATCGACAAATGTACATAGCAAGTGTGTGAGTGACAGTGTCTCCAGATAACACGTGATATCGACAATGGTGCACAGGGCCTGGTGAAGATCTCTCCGGCGGCCGCTGTGATACTGTGCTGTATTTAAGCCGTAGATGTGTATATACATGTATAGGTGTCTCCCTGGTTAAATATCCTGTGTGAATGTCGAGAGTGGCAATTATTTATTGTTTCTTTGAACAACATTAATGTTTTTTATACAGTGGACTTTCCTATAACAGTGACAGTATGTGTCTTGTCGTGTTGGATATTTGTTGATTTCCCTAGCACTCTGATGAATTTTTTTTGTTAGAGTGCTAGCGATAACATATTTTCTTATTTGTACCTTCAAGATACCCATTCTCATGTGTCAGCACTTTCCTCTTGAGTAATTTTATAGTTGACTTGCCCTTCTCTTTTTGCTAATCATTAATTTGAAGTGGTAAAACTAGAGTAAGCATTTCTAAACGGGTCTTGCATGTTGCTGTTATTCAACATTGATATTTTTTCTAATGTAAATAAAAGATTCACATAACAAGCAAAAATTTGTAAAATGGTACCATTGTTTCTTTTAATAAATTAAATATTTTAGTTACAATAAATATTTAAAAACATGGAATATTTATCCAAATATTTGTGATTTTAACTCACAAGCCATTTATAACACATCATCTAGGACAATATGATTGTCTGTTCATCTCACTGTCTTGTATATTCTCGTCACCATGACGACACAGATTACCTTCATAATATTTTGTTATAATATAAACCCAATTATGTATGTATGTGTACTAAGTCTGTATGATGACAAAAACACTTCCTGTCAGTCTGCTAAACCACTATTTCACTAAAATGGAACACAGATACCGTGGTTACACAATTTTATGCTATATTTATTTTTCTATTTTTCAGTAATTTGCTTAACGTGATTTCCAAATGAGAAAGTTTGGTTTGATCACATTTCAAGATATTAAAGCATCAATATGTTTTGAAAGAAGTGTCTTAATCATGTTTAGAGATGTTTTTGAAGTTTTCATTCAAAGATAAGTTATGTATTCAGAGATATTGATATATTCGAGGAAATTGTTAAGTGTTCTGTTGAGAATCTAGTACTGGTTTTTCACTTGTTTTCACTTGTTTAGTACTTGTAGTGATCTGCGAGGACACATTATAGCCTAGTCAAGTGATGCTTGGCTTATCTAGCAGCTAAACTTTCCTAAATCAAGTCCAAGATGTGACGTTTATATTCCTGTGATGTGCTGGTCACTGGTCACATCAGTCATGACCTGTTAAGGTAGTACCATTGACAAAGAAGACAGCTCTGCTATACGACAGTGGTGATATAACTCGGAGTATAACTCGCTTACAGTATATATGCATGTTCAGTAAAAATAGCAAGTATATGACTGTACAGCTATTTAACAGTTTGAATGAATGTTCCATTATCCAGTCATGTTTGTAACTTTCTTGAGACGTAAATTGTAAAGAGATAGTAATACTTGCTTGCATAAACTATAAAGTGTTCGATGGTGCTATTGCCTTGTGAAGATAACCAGTGATATGCTGTTGTCCGGGCATGGAATCGTACTTCTCTATTTTAAATACAAAGTATCATTAAGGATTCAAAGTTCATGGTTGATATAGTGTTGAGAACAAATTATACTTTCAGTAAATGTTTAATATCTGGTGTAGCTGTTTGGTGACAATGTTTGTCCGTAATGGTGACACGTCGGTGAAAAAGTGGTCTCGCAGTTTTTCACTCACATGCGAAAATTTATCTACCATGCATACAGATGCAGTCCAATGTTTTCTGGTGTGTCATAAGTAGACATTACTTTTATAATCATATTTGATATTTTAGCTGACATTGCTTGGCTTTTAAAGTATAAATAACCAGGTATTCTTTGACTGAAGTTACTCAATAAATGTGCATGCTTAAGTCAATACAGAGAGTTAGATACGGACTGCCATGATTGATTAACTGATTGAACCTTTTGTGACAGTGTCATGGTGGAGATCTCAAGGAAAGGGTGGAATTAAGCCAGTACATCAGTGAACAAAAATTAACTTGCACATTCTCTAAATTACAGAATAAACCCAAGTATTTGTCAGCTGGTGTCTCGGGGTTTGTGTGAGTTATCTTGTTGCTCCTTCACCCTCAAGTGTTACAAGTGCTGTGTGATTTGAAATCCTTTACTGCTGTTCTTGAAGCATGTTTGTAGTGGGTGACACTCTAAAGTCTTGCCAGTAGTCAGGCCTCATTCGTGGCAGTAGGACATCACTCTACATAGCAGTCTGGTAATCAACCAGACAGTACATTGTTTGACAGGACGCTTGAACTACGCAAGGCAAGAAGGCATTTTACCAGATACTTTCTGCCATATTTGGAACCATCTTAATTGAACCTTTGTTTTGCAGGTGTTATCTTAACCTCTGAAATAGCAGTGTTAAGGTCTTGCTCCCCACAGACTTGTAATAAAATATTTCCCAAATAACTGGGTGTGACCACAGAAAAACTCCTACCATTGCTTCTGATGAGTGGAATAGGAGGCTTTCATGTGCCATTAGGAAACTTGTGTTCAATTTTTGTTCTGCAGATTGGTTCCTTTATTTTTTCAAATATTCAGTCATCAAACTTCACAGCATCAAACAAGCAGTGGGTAGGTATCTGGTGAAGTGCATGTGTGTCCTATTCAAGGCTATCTCACTGTTCCTCCATATGAAGAGTGGCCATTACTACTTAGAGTATATTAAAGTGGGAGCAGTACAACAGCTGATGACGATGTGTTTGTTTCAAGACATCCCGCCACTGTGATATGCTCTGAGGGCAAGACATGGTCCTTTAAATACAGACATGCTTGGTTCTCCATTAAGCATCATCCCACCAATGGTGTTTGAGTTACCATGGTCGATTTTGTGTGGGGGATAGATGAATACACCAAATTGTTTTTAAAACCAATGTGTGCATTGTGGAATTGTTGATAGCCTTGGACTGTTTCTATGGCAAATTTCACATGCAAATGTCAACTTATATCTCCATGTATGATTTCTAGAAATAATAAATCTGTTCTCTGTATTTTATTTTGGTTCTTTGTTATCAGATGGGAGGCAGCAAAACTTAGTGCTGCACTCAACAAGCAAATCCTAGTCCCCGCGTTTGTGAAAATATTTCTTTCATTTACAACCGAAATCCATACTTACCTTACTTTGAATTGCTGCTTGTATCTCACTTACGTAATGGCATGTTGGAGGTGGTTCAAATGTTAAACATTGACACCACTCTAAGGTTTTATTCCCCACGTGGCTGCAGTGATAGAAGTACCCACATCATGGTAGTACTGGACTGTTGAAGACACCCATGAGTATGCAGCGAAAACGTGATAGTTGTTACTTCTACACAGAACCCATTTCATAGTGATCTTGTGACCAGTTCTGGAAAACCATCATGAAATATGAGGTTGTTCATGAATCATGTGAAATATTTATTTTTATTTTGAAAACATGTACAGGAAATACAAAACCATGTGATCATATTCACTGAGGTAGATCTGCATCATTCTGTTCTGATGAACAATATTAAGAACACCATCGATAATGGAAGGCAGGCATTAATATCCCCGGCCAAACTCTGATTATTCAACAAGATATAAACTCTCTCACCCTTCTACTAGGATTTGTTAGACTCAGTATTGCAGTGTAACAAATAATACGGAGCCTATGTTTACTTAGACTGGCCTGACTGCAGTTTTACAGTAACTCCATCCAGTTTAACTATAGTGAGTGAGTGAGTTTTGTCTTGTGTCGCACTCAGCAGCATTCCAGCCATATGGCGGCGGTCTGTTGATAACCAAGTCTGTACCAGACATTCCAGTGATCAACAGCATGAATATCGATCTATGCAATTCGGATAGGATGACGTGTCGACCAAGTCAGCGAGCCTGACCACCCAATCCTGTTGGTCACCTCTTATGACTGACTGACTGACTGAGTTTGGTTTTACGCCGCTTTTAGCAATATTCCAGCAACATCACGGCGGGGGACACCAGAAATGGGCTTCACACATTGTGCCCATGTGGGGATTCGAACCCGGGTCTTCGGCGTGACGAGCCAACGCTTTAACCATTAGGCTACCCCACCGCCCGCCTCTTATGACAAGCATTGGTTACTGAAGATCAATTCTAACCCAGATCTTCACAGGTCCAGTTTAGCAATAAGCTGACATACTGCACTGGCCCAAATAACACAAACTGGACCAGAGCCTTAGCTGTTTCTAAAAGGACAAAGTATGTCTGTGATCAGCAAGTGTCAAACATACAATTCCATGTCCAAACATACTTGATTATAATTATATACTAATTATTCTGATTACAAAATCATGAATACAAATTAACACTTCTGAAACATAAAACATTGTTTATAAAATACATTTGTGATGCAAAAGAAGTCCATTCATATAAAAATAGACGTGGACATAAAGATAATCTACATACAAAGCATCAGTATGTATCAACAGAACACGACATCAAAAGTAATACAAGGAATGATGTGTAAAACTACAAAACAAAATGTACATATTCTGAGACGTTTTTGTTCTGTATTTTAGAACAATATAACAGAGAACCTTGTTCTAGACAAAATTCCTGAAGCTCGGCTTATCACAGAACTATAAAGACACCTGGGCATACGAGGGGTATCAAAAATTTCAAATTATCACCAAGACGTATTCAGGGTAGAAACTTTATTTTGATTACTTGTCCTTAAGACTTCTCTACATAATTACCATCCAGAGTGACACATTTCTTCCAACATTTCTTGACCTTTGTGCAGACCGCTTGAAAAGACACCCCTGATTTCAGGGGAAACCAACCCTCCACCTCTTCAATGACATTGGTATCGTTAAAACGGAGTCCACATCTTGGCTCAACTGTGAGGAACATATGACTGGTTTGAAAATGCCTTTTCCATCTCACAACAGTATCATAAGATGGACTATCTTCACCATAAACAGATTTCATCTCGTGAATCTGTCGGGCAGTGCAACCCTTCAAGTGCAAAAACTTGATAATGCTGTGTGCCTCAATTTTCTCCATACATGAGGTTACTCATGTTTTGGATCAACTAGCACAAGATTGAATAAAGTTATGTAAATAGTTTTTGGTTCATTAACTAGATAAGGATCACTGATGTTACCTTCAAATTTTCGTCATAATTTCTCAATAAATCCATGGCGATATTTAGAACATTTTGATATCCCTTCATATGAGCATAGAGGTGGATGTAGCATGGGATTTAGCACAGCAGCCATATCACTATTTTGTGTTTGTGTGAGTGCACCCCGACAGCTTTAGTGGAGTGTACACCATTTGTATAGAGAGGTTTGATGTTTTCACTTCAACACGAACATATTACTGTCAGGATGTCGTACAAGAACACATCCATACCGAAGTACACAAGTAATCCTGTTGACACTATCTAGCCTAAACAGTGTTTATGGTATATTTGGACTACACTGATCAGGGGTGTGACACAAACATATAGGGGATGGTTACAAGGAATAATACACATGTTCTAGGAGGAGGACTGGATGGTCTGGATATCTGGTGTGTGGCAAGTTAGTTTGGGACTTGCTCCAGATTAAACAGGATGATGTAGCTGGAGACGTGAAGATGGCGTCTGTTGCTGCTGCTGCTGCTGCTGCTGCTGCTGCTGCTCTACCACCACAAGCACATCATCTGATGCTGGCACCTGTCATCTTCAGCTTGAGATCATGTAGAATTATGTAGCTTGTGACGTGACGATGTTGGTGCTGCTATTGCTATGGTATATCACATCTTCAGGTTCAAGCTGCACAGTCTGTTGTGAGAGGGGATGGCAGCGGCCCCAGCTACAGCGATACCCACAGAGTCACCGACTGAGGCAACTCCCAGACTGAACTCTCGAACCTCTGGGGCGGTCTGGGGAAAGAAGCATCATCATCAGACAACAAGTGGGAGGAAGAGGACTCAGCACTAGCATACAGTATGTTAAACATAATGTGGACCTATCTCTCATACTTAGATGTAGTCTCCATCAAAGATTCACTGTGACAGACTTCTATTAAATTTATATTATTTTCTTTTTTTTATTATCCAAGCACACTGTTTGATCTTGGAGGAACACCCCAAGTATTGTCAGTAATACATATTCAACAAGCTACTGCTGTATCAGGCTAAACCACACTGCAGGTAGTGGAATGAGGGAATTCACATTAGAACACCTTTTGTGAAAAGATAAATATGACACAATATAATGAAAAGATAACCTACCTCTTTCCGCACCCTGTAGAAGGTGTTGACGTAGGCTGCACCACCCAGTAAACCCTCAAAGAACACGATGGCGATGATGATCCAGAAGTTGGGTATGTATCGATAAAATACTTGGGTCAGCAACACAGCGAGGTTGACAAACTACAAACATCAGTAAATGGTATCAGAGTTCATATGGTCATGACCACATGGAAACAATGTCATTGTGCCAAGCCCAATCATTTACAGGTAGATACTCACCTGTACCATGTCATAATACTGGAGCCAGGTACATTCTCACCTGTAGTATAGGCAGTATCCACAGCTTCCGTATCTCAAAACAGTTGACGGAGGAGCGTGATATCAGCACTCCCACCTGGTAGTCCACCTGGTACCTACAACATCATCAACAATGGATCACCTGCAGCTGGTGGGGAGGAACTCACTGATGAGGGCAAACATCAAGTATTGGACTAACATCATGTCAACATGTACCATCACAGTATTGTCAACATGTACCATCACAGTATTGTCAACATGTACCATCATAATGCTTTCAACACAAACCATCACAATATTGTCAACATGTACCATCACAACATTCTCAACATGTACCATCACAATGCTTTCAACACATACTATCATGTATTGTCATGTACAATGCCATCAGCACACATACCATCACAATATTGTCAACATGTACCATCACAATATTGTCAACATGTACCATCATAATGCTTTAAAGATACACCATCACAATATTGTCAACATGTACCATCACAATATTGTCAACATGTACCATCCCAATATTGTCAACATGTACATCACAATATTGTCAACATGTACCATCACAATATTGTCAACATATACCATCACAATATTGTCAACATGTACCATCACAATATTGTCAACATGTACCATCACAATATTGTCAACACATACCATCACAATATTGTCAACACACACCATCACAATATTGTTGACATGTACCATCACAATAACATGTTCACAATATTGTCAACATGTACCATCCCAATATTGTCAACATGTACCATCACAATATTGTCAACACCATCACAATATTGTCAACATGTACCATCACAATATTGTCGACATGTACCATCACAATATTGTTGACATGTACCATCACAATATTGTCAATATTGTCACATGTACCATCACAATATTGTCAACATGTACCATCACAATATTGTTGACATGTACCATCACAATATTGTCGACATGTACCATCACAATATCGTCAACACATACCATCATAATATTATTGTCAACATATACCATCACATCAAAACACTGCCATTATGTACCATAACAATATTGTCAACATATACCATCAGAATATTGTCGATACTTACCATCGATACTGTTCGGATTTGCTGAGCCAGATATCATTGAAGTACAAGAGTTCATGCTGAAACATGGGACAAACATATAGAAGCCGCCCTTGTCACATGTATTTGTATGAGAGTCCATTGTTGCCTTAGCATCTTCACCTCATCATGAATAACAGGGTGTAAAGGTAAGCTCAACCAGTGTGCAAAATAGTTTCCAGTCAAATTTAGTAGCCAGTCGGGCTAGCTATGCCTGAAAGAAACTAGCCCACAAAATATTTCACTAGCCCGTTTGAGTGTAGAAACTAAGCAGTACAAAATCACATGAACATGAACAGTCACTAGCCAGTCAGGCCAGTGACTGTGGAGATTTACTGGCCCGACTAGATTTTTACTAGCCACGGGCTAGTGGGCAAGTGGCAATTTTGCACATTGAGCTCAACCATCATAAAGTGAGGTTTAAGGCCACTTTGGACTGTATTCCAGTTACTACATGGTTTGTTACCTCACTGTAGAAGGAAGGGTGTGCATGAGGGAAGACGCATGTCTCAGAATGTTCACCAAAACAGGATTTACAGGTATGGTGCTGACAAACCAAGAAGAATAATCGAGGTGAACAAGAATTATCAGCTACAGGTGTAATCAAGGTGAGCCAGAATTATCAGCTACAGGTGTAATGGAGGTGTACCAGAATTATCAGCTACAGGTGTAATCAAGGTGAGCCAGAATTATCAGCTTCAGGTGTAATGGAGGTGAACCAGAATTATGGGCTACAGGTGTAATCGAGGTGAATCAGAATTATCAGCTACAGGTGTAATCGAGGTGAACCAGAATTATCGGCAACAGGTGTAATCAAAGTGAACCAGAATTATCAGCTACAGGTGTAATGGAGGTGTACCAGAATTATGGGCTACAGGTGTAATCGAGGTGAACCAGAATTATTGGCTACAGGTGTAATCGAGGTGAACCACAATTACCGGCTACAGGTGTAATCGAGGTGAACCAGAATCATGTGCTACAGGTGTAATGGAGGTGAACCAGAATTATCGGCTACAGGTGTAATCGAGGTGAACCACAATTATCGGCTACAGGTGTAATCGAGGTGAACCACAATTATGAGCTACAGGTGTAACCGAGGAGAACCAGATTTATCGGCTACAGGTGTAATTGAGGTGAACCAGAATTATCGGCTACTGGTGTAATCGAGGTGAACCACAATTATCGGCTACAGGTGTAATCAAGGTGAACCACAATTATGAGCTACAGGTGTAACCGAGGAGAACCAGAATTATCGGCTACAGGTGTAATGGAGGTGAACCAGAATTATTGGCTACAGGTGTAATCAAGGTGAACCAGAATTATTGGCTACTGGTGTAATCAAGGTGAACCACAATTAATGGCTACAGGTGTAATCAAGGTGAACCAGAATTATTGGCTACAGGTGTAATCAAGGTGAACCAGAATTATCGGCTACTGGTGTAATCGAGGTGAACCAGAATTATCGGCAACAGGTGTAATCAAAGTGAACCAGAATTATCAGCTACAGGTGTAATGGAGGTGTACCAGAATTATGGGCTACAGGTGTAATCGAGGTGAACCAGAATTATTGGCTACAGGTGTAATCGAGGTGAACCACAATTACCGGCTACAGGTGTAATGGAGGTGAACCAGAATCATGTGCTACAGGTGTAATGGAGGTGAACCAGAATTATCGGCTACAGGTGTAATCGAGGTGAACCACAATTATGAGCTACAGGTGTAACCGAGGAGAACCAGAATTATCGGCTACAGGTGTAATTGAGGTGAACCAGAATTATCGGCTACTGGTGTAATCGAGGTGAACCACAATTATCGGCTACAGGTGTAATCAAGGTGAACCACAATTATGGGCTACTGGTGTAACCGAGGAGAACCAGAATTATCGGCTACAGGTGTAATGGAGGTGAACCAGAATTATTGGCTACAGGTGTAATCAAGGTGAACCAGAATTATTGGCTACTGGTGTAATCAAGGTGAACCACAATTAATGGCTACAGGTGTAATCAAGGTGAACCAGAATTATTGGCTACAGGTGTAATCAAGGTGAACCAGAATTATCGGCTACTGGTGTAATCGAGGTGAACCAGAATTATTGGCTACAGGTGTAATCAAGGTGAACTAGAATTATCGGCTACAGGTGTAATCGAGGTGAACCAGAATTATCGGCTACAGGTGTAATCAAGGTGAACCAGAATTATCGGCTACAGGTGTAATCGAGGTGAACCAAGATTATCGGCTACAGGTGTAATCGAGGTGAACCAGAATTATTGGCTACAGGTGTAATCAAGGTGAACCAGAATTATCGGCAACAGGTGTAATCAAGGTGAACCAGAATTATCGGCTACAGGTGTAATCGAGGTGAACCAGAATTATTGGCTACTGGTGTAATCGAGGTGAACCAGAATTATGGCGACAGGTGTTATCGAGGAGAACCAGAATTATTGGCTACTGGTGTAATCGAGGTGACCCACAATTATTGGCTACAGGTGTAATCGAGGGGAACCAGAATTATTGGCTACAGGTGTAATCGAGGTGAACCACAATTAATGGCTACTGGTGTAATCTAGGTGAACCAGAATTATCGGCTACAGGTGTAATCAAGGTGAACCACAATTAATGGCTACTGGTGTAATCTAGGTGAACCAGAATTATCGGCTACAGGTGTAATCGAGTTGAACCAGAATTATCGGCTACTGGTGTAATCGAGATGAACCAGAATTATCGGCTACTGCTGTAATTGAGGTGAACCACAATTATTGGCTACTGGTGTAATCGAGGTGAACCAGAATTATGGGCTACTGGTGTAATCGAAGTGAACCAGAATTATGGGCTACTGGTGTAATCGAGGTGAACCAGAATTATCGGCTACTGGTGTAATCGAAGTGAACCAGAATTATCGGCTACTGCTGTAATCGAGGTGAACCAGAATTATCGGCTACTGGTGTAATCGAGATGAACCACAATTATCGGCTACTGGTGTAATCGAGGTGAACCATATAGTATATAGACTAAAACTGTGGCTTCTGAGACATGAAGCCACCTATGCTCCCCATGCAGCCATGTGGTTCCACAGTTTATGTCAATGATTGGAACAACCTGACACAACCAAAATACACATCACCAGTCTGTGGCCCCTATTCTGACCTCGCTATTGCCTGAACTCACTAAAATACACATCACCAGTCTGTGGCCCCTAGCCTGACCTCGCTATTGCCTGAACTCACTAAAATACACATCACCAGTCTGTGGCCCCTAGTCTGACCTCACTATTGCCTGAACTCACTAAAATACACATCACCAGTCTGTGGCCCCTAGCCTGACCTCGCGATTGCCTGAACTCACTAAAATACACATCACCAGTCTGGGGCCCCTAGCCTGACTTCGCGATTGCCTGAACTCACTAAAATACACATCACCAGTCTGGGGCCCCTAGCCTGACCTCGCTATTGCCTGAACTCACTAAAATACACATCACCAGTCTGGGGCCCCTAGCCTGACCTCGCTATTGCCTGAACTCACTAAAATACACATCACCAGTCTGTAGCCCCTAGCCTGAACTCGCTATTGCCTGAACTCACTAAAATACACATCACCAGTCTCGGGCCCCTAGCCTGACCTCGCTATTGCCTGAACTCACTAAAATACACATCACCAGTCTGTGGCCCCTAGCCTGACCTCGCTATTGCCTGAACTCACTAAAATACACATCACCAGTCTCGGGCCACTAGCCTGAACTCGCTATTGCCTGAACTCACTAAAATACACATCACCAGTCTGTGGCCACTAGCCTGAACTCGCTATTGCCTGAACTCACTAAAATACACATCACCAGTCTGGGGCCACTAGCCTGAACTCGCTATTGCCTGAACTCACTAAGATACACTTCACCAGTCTGGGGCCACTAGCCTGAACTGGCTATTGCCTGAACTCACTAAAATCAAGAAACTAGCCTGCACTTGTCCCACCCGGCTACTGTCTGAACTCATTCAACTCAGATGTAGCTACACCCATGAAGGTCTGGGTTAGAAGTGGTCTTCAGTAACCCATGCTTGTCGTCCTAGGCAACTAACGGGATCGGGTGGTCAGGTTCGCTGACTTGGTTGACACATGTCATCGTATCCCAATTGCGTAGATCGATGTTCTGGCTGTTGATTACTAGATTGTCTGGTCCAGAGTCAATTATTTACAGACTGCCGCCATATAGCTGGAATATTGCTGAGAGCAGCACTAAACAACAAACCAACAGTAACTAGTAACTAGCCTGAATTTGTCAGACCCAGCTGCTTGTCTAAACCTGCCCAACACGATCACCACCTTGAACCAGTCTGAACCCATCCAAACCAGTTGGTAGTCTGCACTCACCAGGCCCTGGTTGATGAAGTACTCAGCGAAGTAGACGAGAGCCAACGGTATTATGAACTTCAGTAGAGGCTGAAAACAAACAGGACACCTCTGTCATATCTCGTGTTGTACCAATCTCTATCTTGTTTGGATTTTGAACTCATCTTCCCACATTCATTTTCAAGATACAGGAAACAGATAAACTTGTTTCAATACTTTGTACAATTTGGATCCTGATTTTAGAAGCCAATAGGATCATTAGAAGCACCTTGTTATTGACCTGTTTCTGGATCTTCACACAGAGAGGTATTGTACCAGAGTAAAAATCTAATTTTAATGAGAAAGCTTTTGTAAACTGTTCATATAACAGGAGAAACTTCAAATGGAAATTCCAGTACGAAATGATATGAAGCTTGAACCAACACAATGAAAGATTACTTTCACAATAGTAGTTATTTAATGAAATTATTACATTACATTCATAAATAGAGTTAAAAAAAGGTATTTTACAAGTCAGTTTCATACCATCTGTATCTGAATGTGTACTGATCTGTGTCCGAACACTGCTTCTATTGCAGAACAAATTCACCTCTACTTAGAGAAAACTGTTACAGCTGCATGTAAAACAACGATTTAAATCAAATCACTTGTCCCTAGCTGTCAATACATGGAAACAAGTTTTGCAAATGGTATACTTACAATGATAAGCGCTGCTTTACCCTTTAAACTTATCACTGAAACAGAAAATATACACCTGGTGATTTTAGGTTTAGTTGACAATCAACCATAGTCGTCAGTGCAGTCTTAATATCAGGTTATCGGATCATGTGACCAAATCATGTCACTAGATCTTGACTAGATGTCATATGAAATGCATCTTTGATTATCTAGCATATTTAAATCTCTATTCTATCAGGGTAATATGATGGAACAACTCATCACCAATAGTCAGTTTGAGACTACTTCAATTGTGACAATGAAGAATCATACAGCCCATCAATCACATTGTCCATTGTACCCGTGAAGGTCCGGGTTAGAATATTGATCTTCAGTAACCCATGCTTGTCTACCTGTGAAGGTCCGGGTTAGAATATTGATCTTCAGTAACCCATGCTTGTCTACCTGTGAAGGTCCGGGTTAGAATATTGATCTTCAGTAACCCATGCTTGTCTACCCGTGAAGGTCCGGGTTAGAATATTGATCTTCAGTAACCCATGCTTGTCTCATTGACTTCAGTGAAGGTCCGGGTTAGAATATTGATCTTCAGTAACCCATGCTTGTCTACCCGTGAAGGTCCGGGTTAGAATATTGATCTTCAGTAACCCATGCTTGTCTACCCGTGAAGGTCCGGGTTAGAATATTGATCTTCAGTAACCCATGCTTGTCTACCCGTGAAGGTCCGGGTTAGAATATTGATCTTCAGTAACCCATGCTTGTCTACCTGTGAAGGTCCGGGTTAGAATATTGATCTTCAGTAACCCATGCTTGTCTACCTGTGAAGGTCCGGGTTAGAATATTGATCTTCAGTAACCCATGCTTGTCTACCGGGAAGGTCCGGGTTAGAATATTGATCTTCAGTAACCCATGCTTGTCGTGAAGGTCCGGGTTAGAATATTGATCTTCAGTAACCCATGCTTGTCTCCCCGGTGAAGGTCCATGCTTGGTTAGAATATTGATCTTCAGTAACCCATGCTTGTCTACCCGTGAAGGTCCGGGTTAGAATATTGAATCTTCAGTAACCCATGCTTGTCTACCCGTGAAGGTCCGGGTTAGAATATTGATCTTCAGTAACCCATGCTTGTCTACCCGGTTAGAATATTGGTCCGTAACCCATGCTTGTAAGAATATTGATCTTCAGTAACCCATGCTTGTCTACCATTGAAGGTCCGGGTTAGAATATTGATCTTCAGTAACCCATGAATATTGTCAGTAACCCATGCTTGTGTGAAGGTCCGGGTTAGAATATTGATCTTCAGTAACCCATGCTTGTCTAGGTCCCTTGTCTACGAAGGTCCATGGTTAGAATATTGATCTTCAGTAACCCATGCTTGTCTCAACCCGATCTTCAGTAACCCATGCTTGGAAGGTCCGGGTTAGAATATTGATCTTCAGTAACCCATGCTTGTCTACCCGTGAAGGTCCGGGTTAGAATATTGATCTTCAGTAACCCATGCTTGTCTACCCGCGTAGGTCCGGGTTAGAATATTGATCTTCAGTAACCCATGCTTGTCTACCCGTAGGTCCGGGTTAGAATATTGATCTTCAGTAACCCATGCTTGTCTACCCGTGTAGGTCCGGGTTAGAATATTGATCTTCAGTAACCCATGCTTGTCTACCCGTGAAGGTCCGGGTTAGAATATTGATCTTCAGTAACCCATGCTTGTCTACCCGTGAAGGTCCGGGTTAGAATATTGATCTTCAGTAACCCATGCTTGTCTACCCGTGAAGGTCCGGGTTAGAATATTGATCTTTAGTAACCCATGCTTGTCTCCCGTGAAGGTCCGGGTTAGAATATTGATCTTCAGTAACCCATGCTTGTCTCCCGTGAAGGTCCGGGTTAGAATATTGATCTTCAGTAACCCATGCTTGTCGTAAGAGGCAACTAACGGGATCGGGTGGTCAGGCTTGCTGACTGGGTTGACACATGTCATCGGTTCCCAATTGCGCACATCGATGCTCATGCTGTTGATCACTGGATTGTCTGGTCCAGACTCAATTATTTACAGACCGCCGCCATATAGCTGGACTGACTGACTGACTGAGTTTAGTTTTACGCCACTTTTAGCAATATTCCAGCAACATCAGGACTGGGGACACCAGAAATGGGCTTCACACATTGTGCCCATGTGGGGAATCGAAACCGGGTCTTCGGCATGACGAGCCTACGCTTTTACCACTAGGCTACCCCACCGCCCCCCATATAGCTGGAATATTGCTGAGTGCGGCGTAAAACTAAACTCACTCACTCACTCATTGTTCATTGGTGACCAAATATACTATCACCAGCCCTTGACTCAACACTTTGCATGTTGTCACAAACAGACTTTATGTAAAATAAAACTGTACCTCCCCTTGCCTGTACACAGGAACATATAAGTCAGCAAAATTAGTGAGAGAATCCTAAGAAAGTGATCGAGTAAGAGCAGGTGACATCAACAGTGTTGTGGCTGATGAATCCTGGGAATTATTCTAACACCATAGATACATGGTACACAGAATAATCATGGAGGCATGATGTAAAGCAATAAAAACCAGGCTTGCTACATTAAACTTAATTTACACCCTTTTTTTCCATTAATCTAATCATTAATGCCCACCATCTGTCACAGATAGAATTAATAAAACATTTGTACATGACACAAACAGATGGTTACATTTCACTATAGCATCTGTTCATGTCAATGACTTCAAGCTGCAGAAAGCCTTGTCTACCTGGCTGTGTGGTAATCAGCTGTTCAGTGCTGTTGCCCACCACAGATTCATCACTTGGCCTTGGCTTCTTCAGGACAAAAAAGTAACTGTAACACAAAGAAAGAACAAGTGAACTAAACGGGAAAGAAAAACTGTTGACATAGAGCAAACAATAAGTGTATGATTGAAGACTGAGAAGATGATGGCGCTATAAGTAATGGTGAAATATGCCAGGACAAAACTTTAGAAGCCTCTTCTGTTTCACTGATCAAGTCTCCGGTCTGATACTGTTTGCTTGAAGCGAATGTATTACAACATTAAGACTGAATCTGGAACTGGTTTTCTGCAACCATGAGGTGACTAATGGATTCAGGCTCCGGTTATGCATGTCACAGTACCCAACCTCCTTGGACTCACCTGATGAACATGATGTCAGACTTGGACTCACCTGATGAACATGATGTCAGACTTGGACTCACCTGATGAACATGATGACAGACTTGAACTCACCTTATAACAATGATGATAGACTTGGACTCACCTGACAAACAGGATGTCAGACTTGGATTCACCTGGTAAACATAATGATGGACTTGAACTCACCGGATGAATGTGATGATAGACTTGGACTCACCTGATGAACATGATGACAGGCTTGAACTCACCTGATGAACATGATGACAGACTTGAACTCACCTGATGAACATGTCAGACTTGGACTCACCTGATGAACATGATGTCAGACTTGGACTCAACTGATGAACATGATGACAGACTTGGACTCACCTTATAACAATGATGATAGACTTGGACTCACTTGATAAACAGGATGTCAGACTTGGACTCACCTGGTAAACATAATGACAGACTTGAACTCACCTGATGAACACAATGATAGACTTGGACTCACCTGGTAAACATCATGATGGACTTGAACTCACCGGATGAATGTGATGATGGATTTGAACTCACTGGATGAATGTGATGATGGACTTGAACTCACCTGATGAACATGATGACGGACTTGAACTCACCGGATGAACATGATGTCAGACTTGAACTCACCTGATGAACGTGATGATGGACTTGACCTCACCTGATGAACACAATGATAGACTTGGACTCACCTGGTAAACATCATGATGGACTTGGACTCACCTGATGAACATGATGACGGACTTGAACTCACCTGATGAACACAATGATAGACTTGGACTCACCTGGTAAACAGGGGCGGTGGGGTAGCCTAGTGGTTAAAGCGTTGGCTCGTCACTCCGAAGACCCGGGTTCGATTCCCCACATGGGCACAATGTTTTAAGCCCATTTCTGGTGTCCCCCGCCGTGATATTGCTGGAATATTGCTAAAAGCGGCGTAAAACTAAACTCAGTCAGTCAGTCACTTGATAAACATGATGACAGGCTTGAACTCACCTGGTAAACATGATGACGGACTCACCTGATGAACATGATGACAGGCACCACTGTGAGGATGAGGACTGTGGTACGTGGACTGATCACTTGGGTAAAGCCAGCATAAGCCAGCGCCCCAAACACCCCGGCACCTCCAGTTCCAGATGACCAGGAAGACACAACGTCACTTGGAGAGAAAAGCAACCGAAATAGTGAACCACAGAATCCAAGCCAGTTCTTCTGTAGTTTCAAACATGTACAACCTTTGTCTGATGCCTCGTCTCATTCAGGGAATTACACAAATCAGCACACAATAATTACTTACTTCATCTTTAGAAATACATTTAACTGTTATCAATGTGTCACTCACATCAGACTGCTAACAAAGTGTATGTCAGTCTGTATCTGTCAGTTCCTATTATTTGTGGAGTTGTACAGGGGCAGTTATACTGTTATATCTGTGTTGGTTCACTGAGTGAGTGGACTTACTGGTGGAAGAAGGTGGTGAGACTGAGGAAGGTGATCTCCCCCAGACCTCCGCTGATGCTGGCACACACCACACCTGAAATAAGACAGCAGGAATTGAATACACAAACACACCACACAAACACATCACACAAACACACTGAACAAACATACCACACAAACACACCACACAAACATACCAAACAAACACACGAAATAAAACCTAGAATGTCTGTCAACATGTGCTATTACCTAGAATGTCTGTCAACATATTATATTACCTAGAATGTCTGTCAACGTGTGATATTACCTAGAATGTCTGTGAACATGTGATATTACCTAGAATGTCTGTCAACATATTATATTACCTAGAATGTCTGTCAACATATTATATTACCTAGAATGTCTGTCAACGTGTGATATTACCTAGAATGTCTGTCAACATGTTATATTACCTAGAATGTCTGTCAACATGTTATATTACCTAGAATGTCTGTCAACATATTATATTATCTAGAATGTCCATCAACATATTATATTACCTAGAATGTCTGTCAACTTGTGATATTACCTAGAATGTCTGTCAACATGTTATATTACCTAGAATGTCTGTCAACATGTTATATTAATTAGAATGTCTGTCAACGCATTATATTACCTAGAATGTTTGTCAACGTGTGATATTACCTAGAATGTCTGTCAACATATTATATTACCTAGAATGTCTGTCAACGTGTGATATTACCTAGAATGTCTGTCAACGTGTGATATTACCTAGAATGTCGGTCAACGTGTGATATTACCTAGAATGTCGGTCAACGTATTATATTACCTAGAATGTCTGTCATCACGTTATATTAACTAGAATGTCTGTCAACATATTATATTACTTAGAATGTCTGTCAACATGTGATATTACCTAGAATGTCTGTCAACATCTTATATTACCTAGAATGTCTGTCAACATGTTATATTACCTAGAATGTCTGTCAACATGTTATATTACCTAGAATGTCTGTCAACATATTATATTACCTAGAATGTCTGTCAACATAATATATTACCTAGAACGCTGTCAATGTGTGATATTACCTAGAATGTCTGTCAACATGTTATATTACCTAGAATGTCTGTGAACATGTGATATTACCTAGAATGTCTGTCAACATATGAGATTACCTAGAATGTCTGTCAACATATTATATTACCTAGAATGTCTGTCAACATGTGCTATTACCTAGAATGTCTGTCAACATGTTATATTACCTAGAATGTCTGTGAACACGTTATATTACCTAGAATGTCTGTCAACATATCATATTACCTAGAATGTCTGTCAACATAATATATTACCTAGAACGCTGTCAATGTGTGATATTACCTAGAATGTCTGTCAACATGTTATATTACCTAGAATGTCTGTGAACATGTGATATTACCTAGAATGTCTGTCAACATATGAGATTACCTAGAATGTCTGTCAACATATTATATTACCTAGAATGTCTGTCAACATGTGCTATTACCTAGAATGTCTGTCAACATGTTATATTACCTAGAATGTCTGTGAACACGTTATATTACCTAGAATGTCTGTCAACATATCATATTACCTAGAATGTCTGTCAACATATAATATTACCTAGAATGTCTTTCAACGTGTGATATTACCTAGAATGTTGACCCCCATCTGTTTTGGCAGAGCCACCAGGAGAAAGCTGGCCATAGCAAATACCACCACAAGGAGCACCTTCACCCTGGAACAGAGTAAAAGCTGAATCTTCACAGGAATATTAACACTACATTCCTCCATGTTCACACTACATCCCTCCATGTTTACACTACATCCCTTCATCACCCGTAAACATACATGACAGCCCTGGATACACCCAACTGCTATGTAAACCAGTGAACCAATCAATAGCCTGCTTCCAACAAGATGGATGCCAGCAAGAGAAATACCAGCAAGTGGAATGTCAGCAAGAGGGATGCCAGCAAGAGGGACACCAGCAAGAGGGATGCCAGCAAGAGGGATGCCAGCAAGAGGGACACCAGCAAGAGGGATGCCAGCTAGAGGGATGCCAGCTAGAAGTGTGCCAGCAAGAGGGATGTCAGCAAGAGGGATACCAGCAAGAGAAATACCAGCAAGAGGGATGCCAGCAAGAGGGATAACAGCAAGAGGGACACCAGCAAGAGGGATGCCAGCATGAGGGATGTCAGCAAGTGGGACACCAGCAAGAGGGATGCCAGCAAGAGGGATGCCAGCAAGTGGGATGCCAGCAAGAGGGATACCAGCATGAGGGATGCCAGCAAGAGGATGCCAGCATGAGGGATGCCAGCAAGTGGGACACCAGCAAGAGGGATGCCAGCAAGAGGGATGCCAGCAAGAGGGATACCAGTAAGAGGGATGCCAGCAAGTGGGATGCCAGCAAGAGGGATGCCAGCAAGAGGGATACCAGCAAGAGGGAAGCCAGCATGAGGGATGCCAGCAAGTGGGACACCAGCAAGAGGGATGCCAGCAAGAGGGATGCCAGCAAGAGGGATACCAGCAAGAGGAAGCCAGCAAGAGGGATGCCAGCAAGAGGGATACCAGCATGAGGGATGCCAGCAAGTGGGACACCAGCAAGAGGGATGCCAGCAAGAGGGACACCAGCAAGAGGGATGCCAGCAAGAGGGATGCCAGCAAGAGGGATGCCAGCAAGAGGGACACCAGCAAGAGGGACACCAGCAAGAGGGATACCAGCAAGAGGGATGCCAGCAAGAGGGATGCCAGCAAGAGGGATGCCAGCAAGAGGGACACCAGCAAGAGGGATGCCAGCAAGAGGGATGCCAGCAAGTGGGATGTCAGCAAGAGGGACACCAGCAAGAGGGATACACCAGCAACAAGGGATGCCAGCAAGAGGGATACCAGCAAGAGGGATGCCAGCAAGAAGTGTGCCAGCAAGTGGGATGTCAGCAAGAGGGACACCAGCAAGAGAAATACCAGCAAGAGGGATGCCAGCAAGAAGTGTGCCAGCAAGTGGGATGTCAGCAAGAGGGATACCAGCAAGAGGAATGCCAGCAAGAGGGATGCCAGCAAATGGGACACCAGCAAGAAAGAGGGACACCAGCAAGAGGGATGCCAGCAAGAGGGATACCAGCAAGAGGGATGCCAGCAAGAGGGACACCAGCAAGAGGGATGACAGCAAGAGGGACACCAGCAAGAGGGATGCCAGCAAGAGGGATGCCAGCAAGAGGGATGCCAGCAAGTGGGGACACCAGCAAGAGGGATGCCAGCAAGAGGGACACCAGCAAGAGGGATACCCAGCAAATACCAGAGGGATGCCAGCAAGTGGGATGTCAGTCAAGAGGGACACCAGCAAGAGGGATGCCAGCAAGAGGGACACCAGCAAGAGGGATGCCAGCAAGAGTGAAAATACCAGCAAGAGGGATGTCAGCAAGAGGGACACCAGCAAGAGACATGCCAGCAAGAGGGATGCCAGCAAAAAATACCAGCAAGAGGGATGCCAGCAAGAGAAATACCAGCAAGAGGGATGCCAGCAAACCAGCAAGAGACATACCAGCAAGAGGGATGCCAGCAAGAGGGATGCCAGCAAGAGGGATACCAGCAAGAGGGATGCCAGCAAGAGGGATACCAGCAAGAGGGATGCCAGCAAGACGGATAACAGCAAGAGGGATGCCAGCAAGAGGGATGCCAGCATGAGGGATGCCAGCAAGTGGGACACCAGCAAGAGGGATGACAGCAAGAGGGATGCCAGCAGGGGGATGCCATCAAGAGGGATACCAGCAAGTGGGATGTCAGCAAGAGGGACACCAGCAAGAGAAATACCAGCAAGAGAAATACCAGCAAGAGGGATGCCAACAAGAAGTGTGTCAGCAAGAGAAATACCAGCAAGAGGGATGCCAGCAAATGGGATGTCAGCAAGAGGGACAGCAGCAAGAGAAATACCAGCAAGAGGGATGCCAGCAAGAGGGATGCCAGCATGAGGGATGCCAGCAAGTGGGATGTCAGCAAGAGGGACACCAGCAAGAGGGATGCCAGCAAGAGGGATACCAGCAAGAGGGATGCCAGCAAGAGGACACCAGCAAGAGGGATGCCAGCAAGACGGATAACAGCAAGAGGGATGCCAGCAAGAGGGATGCCAGCAAGAGGGATGCCAGCAGCAAGAGGGATACCAGCAAGAGGGATGCAAGAGGGATACCAGCAAGAGGGATGCCAGCAAGGGGATGCCAGCAAGAGGGATACCAGCAAGTGGGATGTCAGCAAGAGGGACACCAGCAAGAGGACACCAGCAAGAGGGATACCAGCAAGAGGGATGCCAACAAGAAGTGCTGTCAGCAAGAGGGAAATACGAGGGATGCCAGCAAGAGGGATGCCAGCAAGTGGGATGTCAGCAAGAGGGACACCAGCAAAGAAATACCAGCAAGAGGGATGCCAGCAAGAAGTGTGCCAGCAAGAGGGATACCAGCAAGAGGGATGTCAGCAAGAGGGACACCAGCAAGAGAATGTACCAGCAAGAGGGATACCAGCAAGAAGTGTGCCAGCAAGTGGGATGTCAGCAAGAGGGACACCAGCAAGAGGGATGCCAGCAAGAAGTGTGCCAGCAAGTGGGATGTCAGCAAGAGGGACACCAGCAAGTGAAATACCAGCAAGAGGGATGCCAGCAAGGGATGCCAGCAAGAAGTGTGCCAGCAAGTGGGATGTCAGCAAGAGGGACACCAGCAAGAGGGATGCCAGCAAGAAGTGTGCCAGCAAGTGGGATGTCAGCAAGAGGGACACCAGCAAGAGGGATGCCAGCAAGAAGTGTGCCAGCAAGTGGGATGTCAGCAAGAGAAATACCAGCAAGAGGGATGTCAGCAAGAGGGACACCAGTAAGTGAAATACCAGCAAGTGAAATACCAGCAAGAGGGATGCCAGCAAGTGGGATGTCAGCAAGAGGGACACCAGTAAGTGAAATACCAGCAAGAGGGATGCCAGCAAAGTGGACACCAGCAAGTAGGATGTCAGCAAAGGGACACCAGCAAGAGACATACCAGTAAGTGAAATACCAGCAAGTGAAATACCAGCAAGAGGGATGCCAGCAAGAAGTGTGTCAGCAAGTAGGATGTCAGCAAAGGGACACCAGCAAGAGAAATAACAGCAAGAGGGATGCAAGCAAGAGAAATACCAGCAAGTGGGATGCCAGCAAGTGGGATGCCAGCAAGAGGGGTGCCAGCAAGTGACACCAGCAAGGGGGATGCCAGCAAGAGGGACACCAATAAGAGGACACCAGCAAGAGGGATGCCAGCAAGAGGGACACCAATAAGAGGACACCAGCAAGAGGGATGCCAGCAAGAGGGATGCCAAAAATAGTGCTAAACTATCACACTGAACAGTATACAGCCCTGAGTGGTGTGTGCATACAGGAACATGGTCTTCCCCTCAGCGCCCTCCTCAATCTGTCTAACCTGTGTCAACTACTAGTTTCATCTGTTTTTCTTATCTCTGTACTCAGCAAGTCATGATCCCCAACTTTTTATGTTTAGTATAGATCATCATAACATCATATATTTGCTACCCATGTACAACTTCATGAATATTACTTTACCTATCCAATTTGATGCATATTACCTTCCCTTTATCCAGCTGCAATGTATATCGTATCTACATGTATATCGTATCTACATCAGAAAGTAAGTATATCATCTTACCGATATGAAATCTTTTGTAGAAAGAAGGGAGCTAGAAGTTTAATAACTAGGGTCGGTAATATATCTGCCAGTAGGATTGCCTGGAAAAGGAAACAACATTCAAGTCATGTATTCTCCCAGTCACAACAGAACATATTCATACCTGTATCTCATTTCGACTTTACTTTCACACTATCCTGTAATGCTGTGATATAAGAGACCCGTCACTTGCTAGACAGCAGGCTTGGGGAAGGGGTGTCAAGGTTGTACATGCACTGATGAACTGAAAAAATATTCCCTCCCCAAATGCTAGTCATATTTTATGGATGACACTCCTGAAAAGCTCAACAAAATAGCATTTTAAATCTTATTATAACATGTCCAGTTTTTCAAAACGCTTCATAATATGTGCACTACTTTTTGTGAACCTCCCTAGTGCCCCTCCCTCCCTGATTCTTCAGATTCCTACATCTGTATAATCATCGTACTGAGAACTGAACTCATTCATATAATTGCTGTCATACTCACTCCAGTGCTGATCTGGTTACACTCCAAGAACCTGTCCGTCTGAAACACACAACACAATACATACTCACTACCTGCCTATTGTATAGGACCGCACTTACCGCCTACCACCATGGTGAGGTGGACTGTTCCCAGTCAACAATACATACACAGTTGTCTGCCATGTATTCTGAGTTAATAAATCTCCACGCTTCCCTGTGTTGTGCACAATCAGATCCAATCCAAGGTATATCAGGGGAGGTTACTCTGCTGCCTCTTTTAGGGACAGCTTCTCAAAATAAGACACCATTTGTTCTATAGGAAGAAGATTTAACCAAAACAGTCACCATGGTGAGACAGGATCTGCTGCCCACACATAATATTCTAGTGTTATCTGTCATGAAATCACTACCAGTACTAGTAGTTTGACACAATTCAGACAGCTTGAGGTGTTAGGAAGATAGGTACTGGACGATTGACCAGTCCCTGCACTGCTGCAGGCTTGTATGTTACTTACGTTGTTGCTTCCATTCACTGAGGGAGGAGTGGTGCCGTTTTCCGGTGCCAGTGTCTGAAAGAAAGACACAGATTTGGAAACAATGAATCAGACGATTGCACAATGTTTCATAATGTAACCTAAACATTAGACACGGACGGTGGGGTAGCCCAGTGGTTAAACTGTTTACTTGTCACAAAATAGTCCAAGTTATATTTCCCACATGTTTGTATCTCCAGTAGTTTAATGATGAAATAATGCAAAAAGCTGTGTCTGCTCAGAATGTGGCAGGAAATGTTAAGGACAGTACAAACTGCAGGAGCTGTCACACCAAGACACCGACCCTTGCTTGACAAGATGTCTCAAAATGGAGGTTCATCTTTCACATAGCCAAGTTGCTATTCCCTGAGATCCCAGATGCACTCAGAACCTATACCCCAGGTACTGTGCTGATTACGTACTGTCATCAGTGTGCTGTTTCCCTCTCCTCCTTCCTCCGTTTTGAGGATGTCATGGGCAGCACTCAGCATCACAACGTAGGCGAAGTTGTTGGTGAGACCCAAAAACCTGAAAGGGAAAGTAAACAATATCTCTAACAGGCTTCTCTCTGTGTCATACTGGCCTTCACATAGGTCTCTGTCTGTCATACTGGCCTTGGTGTAGGTCTCTGTCTGTCATACTGGCCTTTAGGTAGGTCTCTGTCTGTCTTACTGGCCTTGGTGTAGGTCTCTGTCTGTGTAGGTCTCTGTCTGTAATACTGGCCTTCACATAGGTAGGTCTCTGTTTGTCTTACTGGCCTTGGTGTAGGTTGCTATATGTCATACTGGAATTGGCGTAGGTCTCTCTCTGTCATATTGGCCTTGGTGTAGGTCTCTGTCTGTCATAATGGCCTTGATGTAGGTCTCTGTCATAATGGCCTTGGTGTAGGTCTCTGTCATAATGGCCTTGGTGTAGGTCTCTGTCATAATGGCCTTGGTGTAGGTCTCTGTGTAGTAATGGCATGGTGTAGGTAACCTGTACTACTGTAGGTCACTCTCTGTACTACTGTAGGTCTCTCTCTGTCACACTGGCCTTGGTGTAGATCTCTGTCACACTGGCCATGGTGTAGGTCACCACCTGTCATACTGGTCTTGGTGTAGGTCACTACCTGTCATACTGGTCTTGGTGTAGGTCACTACCTGTCATACTGGCCTTGGTGTAGGTCACTACCTGTCATACTGGTCTTGGTGTAGGTCACCACCTGTCATACTGGTCTTGGTGTAGGTCACCACCTGTCATACTGGTCTTGGTGTAGGTCACTACCTGTCATACCTGTCATACTGGTCTTGGTGTAGGTCACTACCTGTCATACTGGTCTTGGTGTAGGTCACTACCTGTCATACTGGTCTTGGTGTAGGTCACCACCTGTCATACTGGCCTTGGTGTAGGTCACTACCTGTCATACTGGCCTTGGTGTAGGTCACTACCTGTCATACTGGCTTTCACATAGGTCTCTCTGTCATACTGTGTTGTGTATAGACTATACCTAACCAGCATGTTAAACATGTATAGAAGCAATTCAGTGGTGTGCATTCTGTTCACAAAGCCCAACAAGGTCATTTAGACACAGCACTTTAACCAATGTTCTTCTTCCACAGCTCCTGAAACTCCTGGAGCTGATTTAAATAATCTTCCATAGATTCTGGTTTCACTGCATGAAACTGAATCGCATAGATGGAAAACTGCACATGAATGAACTATTAATAATTTATGTCACATACATTTGAACACATATTTAAACTGACAATGAGCTGTTAATTGAACTATTCAGAAAACACACAGCGTATGTAATATGCATACATTACAAAACTGATCCAGAAACAGTCGATGCCTTACCTCCAACAGATGTGCTTATGCCAGAATTCAATATTTTAGACATATCAGTTGTGCCATCAACTACTCTCTACAGGACACAAACCCAGGACATGGTGCCACCACACCCAGGCTCCTGGACAGCAGACCACTTAACCACCCTTGACACCCCACCCCCCATGTACCTCACCCCCTTCAAGGTAGAAGCCAATTATTGTACCACCCAAATCAGACATAAAGGCTGTTCGCAGACAGTAGGTTTTCTTTCCCAGCACTCGGTGCTGGCTTCTAGTTGAGGACTTACCAGAAGCCCACCAGGTTCCTCCATTGGCGGGGGCCATCAGATGTATTGTCTGCAACAAAATGGAAGCCTTTCATTGATGGAACAATCACAACAAGTGTTTGCCACTGATATGGCAATGTCCCCCGCCGCTAAAGAATGGAATATCTATATTTACTACTTTTTATTTTTGGGTCACATACAAGATGCCTGAAATGACTGGTGTCTGCATAACTACCCAATGTAGGCTGTCAACATACTTGAAAACATTGGGTGCAATATTTTATGAGATATCGCCTTTAAAAAGCGGTCAAAGTGTCATGGTGACCTTGTAGATAAGATCATGTTCACCCAAATAAACTGGTGTCTGTGTAATACCCCAATGTAAACTGTCACCAAATTTGAAGACATTGGGTACAACAGTCCATGAGATATCGTGTTAAGAAGAGTTAAAAGCATGCAAAGTGTCATGGTGACCTTGAAGATAAGGTCAAGCTCACCAAAATAAACTGGTGTCTGCGTAATCCCCCAATGCAAGCTGTCACCAAATTGGAAGACACTGGGTACAACAGTGCATGAGATATCACGTTAACAACAGTTTGAAAAGTGGTCAAAGTGTCGTGGTGACCTTGAAAATAAGGTCAAGGTCACCCAAATCGACTGGTGTCTGCGTAATCCCCTAATGTAGGCTGTCACTAAATTTCAAGACATTGGGTACAACAGTTCATGAGATATCACGCTAACAAGAGTTTGAAAAGTGGTCAAAGTGTCGTGGTGACCTTGAAAATAAGGCCAAGGTCACCCAAATCGACTGGTGTCTGCGTAATCTCCCAATGTAGGCTGTCACCAAATGTGAAGACATTGGGTACAACAGTTCACGAGATATCGCGTTAACAAGAATCGGGACGTACGGACGGACGTACGGACAGACACCTCTGAATACATAGTCCCCGTTCCGCGTTGCAGCGGGGACAATGAACAGAGTCTCTCTAACAGCACACAGTAAGTGAAAGTTTTAACGTCTTACCACCAAGTTGGACAATGTGATTGGTTCTGAAGTTGGACAATACGATCGCTAGTGAAGTTAGACAATACGATCAATTTGGAGTTGCTCCCTTGTGGACTTCACATAACATTTGTGTTAATAAATCTGATTGGGAGTTTAACATTTAGTTAAACAACGTGATCAGGTTAAAGAAGCTACAACATAAAACAACATTCACTCACTCACACAAAAATCTTGTCAACCAAATATGGTCATATCAATCACCTTGCTGCACTTCAACCTGCTCCACTACAGCCGGTCCCAACACATATTTAGACTTTCCTTCCAAACCCATTTCAGTATTCCAACAACAACAGCAACAGCACCAACACTTCCGTCTCGCTTTCTCTGCAACAATGACCACTGAGGCCCTCTCCCTGTCACTGATATATCACACATGGTTGACAAAACAAACAGGCCTTTATCTGGCTGACTGTTCGTTCTTTGTACTTTGATACCACAGTTAGGCAACAGAGGAATCCACATTAGCATGGTCTTGTTAATATTGTGGTTGTGATTTCCTGCAGCTAAATGATTGCACTCAACGACACAGATGCAGTCACATACAGTATACTTACCAAATAAGTACATACAGTTAATGGGCAGCATTTTATTGTGATAATAGATGGATATGTAACTCCACTAGCCCGCTAACCTGGACCAGTTTGGTTAAAAGAGAAAGGTACTGTACAAGCTAGAAGAACATTTTCCATGTCGTGTTGGTGTATGTTGTCACTATTTGAGTTCGTAGATGTTCTTGGTTGATAACATCCCTGCCTCATGTACTTCAACTAACACTGTTATCAAGAGATACAATTGCTGAAAAGCCATAAGCATACAGGCAGACATTTGGAGTTCAGGGCCTAGATTTTGACAGCTCTCTTAGCGCTAAGATAGTCGTAAGTTAATGTTAATGTATGGCACTTACGACTATCTTAGTGCTAAGAGAGCTTCGGAAATCTAGGCCCAGATTACTGGCTTAATTCTCAGGATATCAAAGTGGTCATATTGAAGCTTTACACAAGTCTGAATGAAGTAAATACAAGATGGAGGAATGTGTCATCCCTTCTGTCACATTTGTCATCACCTTGACCACATGAGTGTGTGGAAACACAACAACTGTACCACGAGCAAACAGTAGTGACCATCTGCATCCTCCACATATACCACTCAAAGCTTTACAAGGATCACCCTTTAGGAAGGTAATATGTTAATGCCAACAAACAGTAGTGACCATCTACATACCCCGGTACTTGACATATACCACTCAAAGCTTTACAAGGATCACCCTTTAGGAAGGTAATATGTTAATGCCAACATACAGTAGTGACCATCTACATACCCCGGTACTTGACATATACCACTCAAAGCTTTACAAGGAGAACCACTATGTTAATGCCAACAAACAATCAGTCACATCATCTGTCAAAATAGGAGTACCTGACCAAAAGTGTAACCTCAAAAAAACACTAAAACAATTTCATTGGCAAACGAAAAAATACTCTCAGTAGCCAGTATGTGTCCCACATGAAACAAGAACAGACTGAAACCATCATCTCATACTTCCAATAAGTGATTGGATGCTTACCAAGGAAGATTGTTCCACTCTTCGGTGAGAGCATTGCCAAGTTCCGTTAGAACTGAAGGAAGGACAGGGACTTGTGAAGCTTGTGCAGATTGCCAAAAACAGGATTAAGATTTGATGACCAGGCTGGCCACTTCATGCAAACAATAGTCTCCTGCTCTGTGTATCAACATCCCTAGCAAGAAGATGTCGTTCATCACTGTTTATGAGGATTGCACCAGGATATGATCTCCTGTACACATCCAGAATGTCATCCCTGTGGTGTAAACCCATGCTCCACTGAGTGACCACTTTTCTCCGTGCAACACTCAGACATCACGATCTGTGGAATCCTGCAATCTTTCTCTGTGCAACACTCAGGCATCACGATCTGTGGAATCCTGCAATCTTTCTCTGTGCAACACTCAGGCATCATGATCTGTGGAATCCTGCAATCTTTCTCTGTGCAACACTCAGGCATCACGATCTGTGGAATCCTGCAATCTTTCTCTGTACAACACTCAGGCATCACGATCTGTGGAATCCTGCAATCTTTCTCTGTGCAACACTCAGGCATCACGATCTGTGGAATCCTGCAATCTTTCTCTGTGCAACACTCAGACATCACGATCTGTGAAGTCTAGGCAGTATCCTGATTCAACAGGGAAGTATACTGAAGCCCAGCCCTGATCTGTCCACTGGACTATATTCAGCTGAAACCAAACCTGTCTGCTTGTGATGCCTGGTCAGTGTGATGCATGCGTCAATGTGATGCCTGGTCAGTGTGATGCCTGGTCTGCTTGTGATGCCTGGTCAGTGTGATGCATGCTTCAATGACTGAAAACCAGGATCACAGAGACAAGTTTGCCCTGAGTAGCAAGTTTAATGTTCTTGGCATTCTGCAGGTGATTTCTGAGTGTGGTGGCAGTCAAGAAGTGATGACATCTTGCTGAAATCATCAACCTGTCTGATAGAACGTGGTCGACCAAATGCATGCTGCTGGATACCTGATCTAAACAGGTAAGAGAGTCAGTTCATCCTAGCATTAGTCCTTCTACCTGGTCCTTGACCATGGCGTTCATAGACCAATAAAGTAGGTGAAGGAACAATGGCTTAACGACAGGTCTGAAAAGGGTTTGTAGGATTATGTTTCATCATTTCAAACAATTCTGTGTAAAGCTTGTGAAGTTGCTAGTGATAACTTGAAAAAAATGATGAAAGTACATTTTATGACAAGTAGTCTAACGAGAGAACTTCAGTCCTGGCAATAGTGTTTTTGCCAATTCCTGGTCAGCCATTACGTGCTATGTATTGTATTGATAAGAAAGTCAGTCATACTGATAATGTTGTGGTGACACCAGGCGCTTATAAAAAGACACAACTTTGTTATGTCAATATGATTAGAAAGTATCATGAAAGAACTGACAATGTACCTACTCAATATGATTAGAACGTATCATGAAAGAACTGACAATGTACCTACTCAGTATGATTGATTAGAAAGTATCATGAAAGAACTGACAATGTACCTATTCAATATGATTAGAAAGTATCATGTAAGAACTGACAATGTACCTACTCAGCATCATTAGAAAGTATCATGAAAGAACTGACAATGTACCTACTCAATATGATTAGAAAGTATCATGAAAGAACTGACAATGTACCTACTCAATATGATTAGAAAGTATCATGAAAGAACTGACAATGTACCTACTCAATATGATTAGAAAGTATCATGAAAGAACTGACAATGTACCTACTCAATATGATTAGAAAGTATCATGAAAGAACTGACAATGTACCTACTCAATATGATTAGAAAGTATCATGAAAGAACTGACAATGTACCTAATCAGTATGATTAGAAAGTATCATGAAAGAACTGACAATGTACCTAATCAATATGATTAGAAAGTATCATGAAAGAACTGACAATGTACCTTCTCAGTATGATTAGAAAGTATCATGAAAGAACTGACAATGTACCTACTCAGTATGATTAGAAAGTATCATGAAAGAACTGACAATGTACCTACTCAATATGATTAGAAAGTATCATGAAAGAACTGACAATGTACCTACTCAATATGATTAGAAAGTATCATGTAAGAACTGACAATGTACCTACTCAATATGATTAGAAAGTATCATGTAAGAACTGACAATGTAACTACTCAGTATGATTAGAAAGTATCATGAAAGAACTGACAATGTACCTACTCAGTATGATTAGAAAGTATCATGAAAGAACTGACAATGTACCTACTCAATATGATTAGAAAGTATCATGTAAGAACTGACAAAGTACCTACTCAATATGATTAGAAAGTATCATGAAAGAACTGACAATGTACCTACTCAATATGATTAGAAAGTATCATGTAAGAACTGACAATGTACCTACTCAATATGATTAGAAAGTATCATGAAAGAACTGCCAATGTAACTACTCAGTATGATTAGAAAGTATCATGAAAGAACTGACAATGTACCTAATCAGTATGATTAGAAAGTATCATGAAAGAACTGACAATATACCTACTCAATATGATTAGAAAGTATCATGAAAGAACTGACAATGTACCTACTCAGTATGATTAGAAAGTATCATGAAAGAACTGACAATGTACCTACTCAATATGATTAGAAAGTATCATGAAAGAACTGACAATGTACCTACTCAATATGATTAGAAAGTATCATGTAAGAACTGACAATGTACCTACTCAATATGATTAGAAAGTATCATGTAAGAACTGACAATGTAACTACTCAATATGATTAGAAAGTATCATGAAAGAACTGACAATGTACCTACTCAGTATGATTAGAAAGTATCATGAAAGAACTGACAATGTACCTACTCAATATGATTAGAAAGTATCATGTAAGAACTGACAATGTACCTACTCAATATGATTAGAAAGTATCATGAAAGAACTGACAATGTACCTACTCAATATGATTAGAAAGTATCATGTAAGAACTGACAATGTACCTACTCAATATGATTAGAAAGTATCATGAAAGAACTGCCAATGTAACTACTCAGTATGATTAGAAAGTATCATGAAAGAACTGACAATGTACCTAATCAGTATGATTAGAAAGTATCATGAAAGAACTGACAATATACCTACTCAATATGATTAGAAAGTATCATGAAAGAACTGACAATGTACCTATCTCAATATGATTAGAAAGTATCATGAAAGAACTGACAATGTACCTACTCAGTATGTTGCCAGTGTTGCTCCTGTAGATCATTAGATGATGTATCAGATTGTGATCCTGTGTGACTTCAAGAAGTTTGATGGTATTACTGACTTTGCTTGCCCTAAGCTACACACTTCTGACATTTTGATTAACTTACATGTTGAGCTAGGCCAGTTGCCACCTGAGCACAGATCACAGATAATTCAAGAGTTTGCTCACTTGTTTCCGGATGTGCCTGGGCACCATTCCCACTAGATGAATCCAAACAAGCTTGGAGCCATGAAGAAGGAAATTCCATACAAGCTGGACAATGACATTTTTTAACAAGCTGGACAATGACATTTTTAACACGATGTCAGAGTGACTGGAGTTCATCTTGTATTCTTGAGCCACAGACTGATGAGAGTAGTTACAGATGCTGTACTGACGTGCAATGTGTCAACACTCTTTCTAAAACTGACTCTTACCCAATATGAAGAATCAATGACTGCATCGACAGAATGGGTCAAGCCAAGTATGTCAGCAAGTTTGACATAATGAAGGGGTACTGGCAGATTCCGCTGACATAGGCCAGGG